TTCTAAAAAATTCACGGATGTAGATTTCGACATACTGATACGAAAAATATAGCGTGTTAATGGTCACGGAGCAATATTTTCGAAAAATCGGCATGAAATGCGAATTTTTGTAAATTTCTAAATTTTCGATATTTACACGGTCGATTTTGAAAAAACGGCTGCATTTATCATAGAAGCAAGGCCGAAAATGAGTTCTAGAGTTCGAAATCTAAAGAAACATGTATTTAGTTACGTTTTGAAAATGTAGAAAATTAGCCGAAATCTGAAAAAATTTCCCTTTTAAAAAAGACGCCTAAAAATTCTGAAAAAATTCAGGGATGTATATTTCGACATACTGATTCGAAAAATATAGCGTGTTAATGGTCATCGGCATGAAATGCGAATTTTTGTAAATTTATAAATTTTCGATATTTACACGGTCGGTTTTGAAAAAACAGCTGCATTTATCAAAGAAACGAGGCCGAAAATGAGTTCTAGAGTTCGAAATCAACAAGAAAATGTATTTAGTTAAGTGTCGAAACTGTCAAAAATTGACCGAAATTTGAAGAAGGGGGGAACCAATGGAAAAATTTCACTTTTAAAAAATTGTCTAAAAATTCTGAAAAAAATCAGGGATTTAGATTTCGATATACTGATTCCAAAAATATAGCGTGTTAGTGACATGAAATGCGAATTTTTTAAAATTTCTAAAATTTCGATGTTCACACGGTCGATTTTGAAAAAAACAGCTGCATTTATCAAAGAAGCAAGGCCGAAAATGAGTTCTAGAGTTCGAAATCTAAAGGAACATGTATTTAGTTACGTTTCGAAAATGTAGAAAATTAGCCGAAATCTGAAAAAATTTCACTTTTAAAACAGTCGTCTAAAAATTCTGAAAAAATTCAGGGATGCAGATTTCGACATGCTGATTCCAAAAATATAGCGCGTTAACGGTCGCGAAGCAACATTTTCGAAAGAAAAAACATGAAATGTGAATTTTAAAAAATTTCTAAAATTTCGATATTTCGACGGCGGACTCTGGAAAAACGGTTGCATTTATCAAAAAAATTAGGTCAAAAATGAGTTCTAGATTTAGAAATCTACACGATAATATATTTAGTTACGTTTCGAAAACGGCAAAAATTGGCCGAAATTTGAAGACCACTGGAAAAATTTCACTTTTAAAAAAGTCGTATAAAGATTCTAAAAAATTCGGGGATGTAGATCTCGACATACTGATTCGGAAAATATAGCGTGTTCAAGGTCGCGGAGCAATATTTTCGAAAAATCGGCATTAAATGCGAATTTTTGTAAATTTCTAAACTTTCGATATTTACACGGTCGATTTTGAAAAAACGGCTGCATTTATCAAAGAAGCAAGGCCGAAAATGAGTTCTAGAGTTCGAAACCAACAAGAAAATGTATTTAGTTAAGTGTCGAAAATGTCAAAAATTGACCGAAATTTGAAGAAGGGGGAAAAATTTCACTTTTAAAAAAATTGTCTAAAAATTCTGAAAAAAATCAGGGATGTAGATTTCGATATACTGATTCTAAAAATATAGAGTATTAATGGTCGCGGAGCAACATTTTCGAAAGAAAAAACATGAAATGTGAATTTTTAAAAATTTCAAAAATTTCGATATTTCGACGGTGGATTCTGAAGAAACGATTGGATTTATCTAAGAAACGAGGCCGAAAATGAGTTCTATAATTCGAAATCTACAAGAACATGTATTTAGTTACGTTTCGAAAATGTAAAAAATTGGCCGAAATTTGAAGAAGGGGCGATCATAAATTCGTCTAAAAATTTAGAAAATTCAGGAATGTAGATTTCGACATACTGATTCCAAAAATCTAGAGTATTAATGGTCGCGGAGCAACATTTTCGAAAGAAAAAACATGAAATGTGAATTTTTGAAAATTTCAAAAATTTCGATATTTCGACGGTGGATTCTGAAGAAACGGTTGAATATATCTAAGAAACGAGGCCGAAAATGAGTTCTAGAATTCGAAATCTACAAGAACATGTATTTAGTTACGTTTCGAAAATGTCAAAAATTGGCCGAAATTTGTAGAAGGAGCGACCATAAAGTCGTCTAAAAATTCTGAAAAAATTCAGGGATGTAGACTTCGACATGTTGATTCCAAAAATGTTGGATGTTAATGGTCAGGGAGCAACATTTTCGAAAAAATTGTCATGAAATTCGGATTTTTAAAATTTCTAAAACTTTGATATTTGGACGGTGGATTCTGGAAAAACGGTTGCATTTATGAAAGAAATGAGGTCAAAAATGAGTTCTAGATTTAGAAAACTACACGAAAATATATTTAGTTAGGTTTCGAAAATGGCAAAAATTGGCCGAAATTTGAAGAAGGGGGACCATTGGAAAAAATTCACTTTTAAAAAAGTTTTCTAAAAATTCTAAAAAATTCAGTGATCTAGATTTCGACATACTGATTCGACAAATATAGCGTATTAATGGTCACGGAGCAATATTTTCGAAAAATCAGCATGAAATGGGAATTTTTGTAAATTTATAAATTTTCGATATTTACACGGTCGATTTTGAAAAAACGGCTGCATTTATTAAAGAAACGAGGCCGAAAATGAGTTCTAGAGTTCGAAATCAACAAGAAAATGTATTTAGTTAAGTGTCGAAAATGTCAAAAATTGAACGAAATTTGAAGAAGGGGGGAACATTGGAAAAATTTCACTTTTAAAAAATCGTCTAAAATTCTGAAAAAAATCAGGGATGTAGATTTCGATGTACTGATTCCAAAAATATAAATTAATGGTCGCGGAGCAACATTTTCGAAAGAAAAAACATGAAATGTGAATTTTTGAAAATTTCAAAAATTTCGATATTTCGACAGTGGATTCTGAAGAAACGGTTGGATTTATCTAAGAAACGAGGCCGAAAATGAGTTCTAGAATTCGAAATCTACAAGAACATGTATTTAGTTACGTTTCGAAAATGTCAAAAATTGACCGAAATTTGTTGAAGGGGCGACTATAAAGTCGTCTAAAAATTATGAAAAAACTCAGGAATGTTGACTTCGGCATGCTGATTCCATAAATATTGCGTGTTAATGGTCAGGCAGCAACATTTTAGAGAAAATTGGCATGAAATGCGGATTTTTTTAAAATTCTAAATTTTCGATATTTCGACGGTCGATTCTGAAAAAATGGTTGCATTTATCAAAGAAGAAATATATTTAGTTAAGTTTAGAAAATGTCAAAAATTGGCCGAAATTTGTAAAAGGGAAAAATTTCACTTTTAAAAAAGCCGTCTAGAAATTCTGAAAAAATTCAGGAACGTAGATCTCAACATGCCGATTCCAAATATATAGAGGGCTTGATTTTAACGGGACAATATTTTCGGGAAATTCGGTGTGAAATTCGAATTTTTGGAAATGTCTAAAAATTGCGATATTTCAATGGACGACGCTGGAAAAACAGTTTATGTTATCGAAGAAATGAAGTCAGAAGTGACTTTTGCGGCCTAAAATCTACAAGAAAATTTATTTAGTTAAATTGCAAAGGGGTATCTAATACCATAATCCGTATACACAATGGAAAGTTTCATTTTTGAAAAAGTCATGTCAAAATTCTGAAAAAATTCAAACGTGTTGATTACAAAAAGATAGCGTGCTATTATCCATTATTGCTTAAGAATACTTTATTTCTGTTTAAAAAAAATAAGGTTATTTCTTGAAGTTTGTTTTCAGCAGTGTATGAAGTTGCTATTTAATTTTCTTTCAGATTTTTGGGAAATTCGCTGATCCAAACAAGTCGCTAATCCAAACACACCTTTTCCCCAAATAATTCGAATTATCGAGGTTATACTGTATACATATCTTTATCTTAACTTAAAAAAAATATAACCTTAGAATTTTGGCTGGATTTGATGAGCGAGAGAAGTTCTGTCGAAATAGTCTTCGACCAATTTGTTCTAGTTATCGAGAAAGAAAGGACGCCAATTTTTAATAGGGTCCAAGGTGAGGGCCTTACTTTCATGTCAATTTTCCAGATGGATTTTTAATTGTAAACTTCATGGCGTGAAACACAGTTTGGTTAAATAGCTGGCTGTTTTACGAAGACAGGGTGGAGCGTATAATATGCGGCAGTTCTAAAATTGATTTTAAATGATTACCGTATTTCATACGAGCAAGATCCACACAAAGAATAATTGAATTAAAATTTGATATCTATCAATTACAATGAAAGCAAAAGTGTTATTGGAAAACTGTTTTGTTTTTATTTCTGATGAGCACAATTTTTTTTCCGAAAACGAATCATTTTATTCACTGTCATCTGGCCAAACTATGTCTTCAATCCATTTAATATAGTAGGACACTCGAGTATTTACGGTGGGACGTTCAGCACAACTTGCAACCGAAATCACACCCACTACATCATATATACACCGGGTTGCGTCTTTTCTGTGATATATTTGCATTGGTCCACCACTATCACCCTAAAAATTCAATTTTTTTTAATAACAATAGATACACAAAGGCTTAGACATAGTTTAAACTAAAATAATGTTTTAACTGACCTCACAAGCACCCTTGCCTTCGGTAGCTCCTCCTGTGCAAACATGTATATCATTTATAACCCCTTTGTCTAGATTACTTGAGTTCCTGTACAAGTCATTGCAGGTCTGGTGGTCTATAATATCTAGTTTTACTTCGAATAAATTTCGATTATTGCTTCTATCCAAATACTCTGTAGCACCCCATCCAGTAGCAACAGCTGTTGTGTCCTGAATGGCAGAGTTTATATAAAGACACGCTGGCCGTACATACGAAGTCATTTCGACTGGTCTCTCCAGTTTCAATAGTGCTATATCGTTATATGGAAGATTTTTTTTGTACTCTGGATGCGTAAATCCACTTGCTACGTTTATTTCTTGTTTTTCGCGGGGGTCGTTGATATTTGTCACCCCCAACAACGCAAGTTTTGGTTCACGACTAAAACATACAGAAAAATTAGTTAATATCAAATACTAAGGTCAAACTTACTGTTCCGTATACATACAAGATCCCGATGTCAAAATATATTGTTCGCTGATAAGCGATCCTCCACATAACCACTGAACACTGTAACGGGACAGAATCCGATATCCCAGTAGCGCCATATGAGGAAACTGTGTTTTTCCAGCTGGAATTCCTCCAACGACGCGTTTTACAATACTGTGTCCACATAATGGTTTCTCTTTTGTGTACGTAGCATATTCTCTACATTCTAAACGCAATTTGAATTTGGTTTTACTTTGTGTGGACACGAAATTTTTTACGTACTACTTTCGCTCATGTAACCTGGTCGACGAGGCTTTGGGCAACAGACTATGGGTTGGGTTTCTTCGAAGCCACAAGTTTGAGGCAGTTTTTGGTGGAAGACTACTTCATCTCGAATCTCCTTGCATTGTATTAAGAGTTTGCAAATCCCTGGATAGTTTGGAGACTCAAGGATGCAAGAGGTTCCTGTAAAGGCAAATGTGAAAATTGAATTGATTTCACGAAAAAAAAAAAAAGATGTGATATTACTATATTGAATCTTTGGCAAAAACAACATTTGCCACTGGTTTCGAAAAAAAGTGGTAGGATAAAATTTAAAAATATTAAGCTGGGGATGGTAAAGTAAATATTTGACACTACGTAATCGTAGTTAACCAAAAGTCGAAAGATTTTATGTCATAATTTAAAAGTTAATGATATCTAGAGAGCGGATTTATAAGCACAAAAAAATTAAGAACAAGCGCTTAAATAAGCACAACATTTTCAATAAAACAGTTTTCTTTTAAGCAAAAAAGCATTAAAAACATAATCATATTACAAATCAAAGAACACTTCTTAGAACTTTGGATAAAATATTATTACAATAATCCTAGACTTTATATTTTACACACGTATTTCAGTTTTCTTTAAAACAATTTATGATTGTAATATGTTCCAAGTTGTCCACTGTCAAATTTTTTCGCCGATCATTTAAAATGTATTTAAAATTGGAGAATGTGCGTTCAACATCCACACTCGTTGGCGAAAATTTGAATTTTGCAACTAATGTTGAATCTAACTCCAAATTTTCCACCTTCTGGCCTTGTAAAACACGAGCAACGTCGGAAAGAACACCGAAACCTGCATTTTTATTTAACACTTCGTCAAGTTTTTGAGATACTCTAGTACCAATATCACCCCTTACTGCGTTTGCTTGTTGTTTAAATTCTTTCACTAAGTTTATGGCATCTACCAACAACATGTTGGGTTTTTCTAACTTTTCTATTACCTCACATACGAATTGATAATTGCTTCTTAGAAAAGCTAGATATTGTCGCAAATCTTTGTTTTTCAAAATATTTATGCAATCTTTAATCGATTGAGAAGAATCTTCGCTAAACTCCGTAACTACTTCCTCAAATTCTTTGATATATTTGTCATAATAAAACGTGGCCTGTAACTATGTTCCCCACCTCGTTATAATCGGCTCTGGGGGCAATGGTATATTTGGAAATTTTTCCTTAAAATGTTGCACTCTTAGTGGGGCTTTAACAAAAATCTTTTTACCATTTGTCACTAATTTATTAACAGTAGGAAACTGCAAACGTATTTCTTCAGCCACTCTGTTTAAACCGTGGGCAATGCAAGTAAAGTGAATTAAATTGGGGTACAATATTTTTAGATTATTCCCTGCTTTCAACATATAATGAGCTGCATCCAAGACCATCAATAAAATTTTATTCGCCGGTACGGCATTTGGCAAAAATAGTGACGTAAGACTGTCATTTACAAATTTGGTAATCGTATTGCCATTTGTTTTATCTAAAATTTTCAAACTTACTACATACCCTCGACTAGGGAAATTTTCATTTAAGATTCCAACAATTAAACTTGCCACGTATCTTCCACAACTATCGGTTGTTTCATCGACAGCGAACCATAAATAATTATCTCCAATGCGATGTTTAATTTCGTTGTAAACTTGCTGAAACACTGGGCCTACATAATTTTTTCGGAGAGTACTTTCAACCGGAATATGTCGATTGCAGTGTTTTTCAAGGAATTCTTGAAGAGGGCCTTTCTCCAATTTTTTTAAAGGTATATTGGACTGGATCATCATTTTACATAAATCCAAATTAAACTGAAATTGCTCATTTTTTGTGGAAGTAGATGCAACAGATTCATGTATGGTCTGCTGTTTAATTTAAAAACTTCAAACATTTTCTTCCTTTCTACATGAAGAGTCGTTCTGACATGTTGCGTCACGTTATATTTTTTATCATTTTGAATCTAAAACAACGTACATATACAGGATTAACAAAGGAAAATAGATAAAAAAAAATTAGTGGGCTTACGGTTTTCACACAAGCTCTGCAGAATATTTTGTTGTTTGCTAATTTTAATTCTGGAAAATCCCTTATCCACTCATCCGGCGTCGATTTTACTTTCGGCACTCTTTTAAGATATTAGTAATATTACCAAAAAGAACTCAACATGTAACAAGGGAGAACCACGTATAACACTGTACCACGACAGACGCGATAGATTGTTTGTTGTGAAATAAAGGGTCCATTTACTTAAAAGTTTCCATTAGAAAAATTTTAAGGTAGGTAGTTGGGTACAATAATCCTTTTTTCTAGAAAATCTTCAACGGTCTTGCCGCAAAATGCCGAAAAAGAACATCCAGTTAAAAGTTTTAATTCATTATCAACGGAAGTAAGGATTTAAAGTCATAAAATCTATGGAGTATTTTTCCAATCCTATAATAAAATGTCATTGCCCAAACGACCGGAACCTATTCACAGAAAGGGTCTTGAGTAAGTGTACTTAAATGGTCAAGTCCAGGTAAAATGCATACGATACGATACCGCTAACTAGCAAGTATTTGTCATCCCGACAAGGGCGGCATTTGAACAAAATATGCATTAAAACTCATATTCGTCGAAAAAAGCATTAAATAAGCATATTAGTTTTAATATGCTTAAAATTGAATAAAAAGCAAATAAGCATAAAAAAAATGTGTCAAATGACTCCAAATTGTATCATAGTTACAGATATAAAAAAGTTTTGAAATGCTTACATTTTTCACAAAAAGCATTAAACCTAGAAATCCGTTCTCTAATGACATCACAATTCAACAAATTATCCAAGCATTTTTTTGTAGATGAGAATAAATATATAAGGTTATGTAAGTAAGAAAATTAGCTAAGAGTTTTGCTTATAACATTGAATAATGATATAGACGTAAAGAAGAACAACTCACCAATAATATCTTGTGTGTAAATATTTTTAACCAACATTATAGTAACAATGATCAGAGATCTAAACATTCTTTAAAATTTAAAAGCTCTTCTTCTTTACCACTATTAGTTTTATAAGCGTACGAAACAGGTATTTACACATGTGGTGATTTCAGGGACAGCCACGTTTCCTGTACACTTTGTAGGTCATCGCGAGTGATAATAATGGGTTACGAGCTAGATTTAAGTACCAGCAAATTACGATGCCCGCAAACCATGTTATACATGTGTTTTTCGTAGTATACATCGTTTCCTATTTATCTATTTTTTGTAAATAATGAAAATTTTGGATTCATATAGATCCCAAAGCAGAAAAAAAAAACATTACAATTAAACTGTTTAAATGTTTCTGTTGTAATGTCCTGAAAAAATAAGATAATTTATTCAATAATGTAGGCAACCATGCAAGTCTAGCGAAATTGAAACCCTCTGTTTGGGGCTGGAAAAAATTTAGAATCGGACGTGCGGTTGTGTGGAAAATGAACCACATTCGACGCCCCAGTCCCAATAAATGAGTACAGTTAATTATGATTTTATAACCTGAAATGTGTAGAAAATTGATAATACGTCAACATGTTCCTTTAATTGTTAATGTTAAGATTGTTGATTGTTCATGGTTGTAAGACAAGTAAGCGATCATTATGCAAATGTTCATATGAACCACATTTCAGGAAATTCTTTGTTTGGGACTTTGATATACCGTGAACCCCGAGATTTTTTTAAATTCTTAAAATAAACACTAGAAACTCCCGAGATTTTCTTGAGTTCTTTCAAAAACAAAACACCAGAAACATCCGAGGTCGTTATAAATTTTTCTAAAACACACTAGGGACTATCGAAATTCTTTCAAATTCTTTGAAGAACGAAACAGACATCCGACATTCTCTTCTATTTTTTTTAAAACAAAACACTCGGGAGCCCCTAAATTATTTCTAATTCTTTGAAAAATAGAGCACCATCAATCCCGAGATTTTTTTAAATTCTTAAGACAATACACTAGGGACCCCGTGATACTTTTCAAATCTTAAAAAAATTGGTAGGGGTCCCACGATTCTTTAAAATTCTTTCATGAGTTTCCTAGATTTTTTTAAATACAAAAAATATATTAGAAACCTCCGAAATTTTCTTCAAAACTTTCAAAAACATCACCAGGAATATCTGAGATTTTAAATTTTTTTCAAAAACAACACACCAGCAACATTCGAGACGATTTTTAACTCTTTAGAAAAAAAGACACTAGGGACTCCTACCTATAGACATTTTTCAATTTTTTTGTAAACCAAAACACCAGGAACATTTAAGAAAAAAAACACTAGGAACCTCTTTAAAATCTTTAAAAAAACATTAGAAACTCCCGGAATTTTCTTCAAATCTTTCAAAAAAAAATATATATATATATCAGGAATTCCGAGTTTTCAAATTCTTAAAAAATAGTCTAGGGGTCTTCGAGAGTGTTTAAAACTTTTCTAAAAACCAAAATATTAGAAAACCCCCACATTATTTCAAATTCTTGCAAAAACAAGACTTGGGAACCGAAATACTTTTAAATTAAAAAAAAAAAAATACCGTAGGGGCTCTAGGATTTTTCCTTCTGATTTCTTAAGAAAATACACTACGGGCCCCGAGATACGTTTCAAATCTAAAAAAATCCGTAGGGACCACATGATTATTTCAAATTCTTTCATGAACTCTCTCGATTTTTTTAAATTCTTAAAACAAACACTAGAAACTCCCGAGATTTTCTTGAGTTCTTTCAAAAACAAAGCACCAGAAACGTTCGACGTTCTTATAAATTCTTTTAAAATACACTAGGGACTGTCGAAATTTTTTCAAATTCTTAGAAGAACAAAACAGACATCCCACATCCTCTTCAATTCTTTTAAAAACAAAACACTCGGGAACCCCTGAATTATTTCTAATTCTTTGAAAAATAGAGCACCATCAATCCCGAGATTCTTTTAAATTCTTAAGCAAATACACTAGGGACCCCGTGATACTTTTCAAATCTTAAAAAAATTGGTAGGGGTCCCACGATTCTTTAAAATTCTTTCATGAGTTTCCTAGATTTTTTTAAATAAAAAAATATATTAGAAACCTTCGAAATTTTCTTCAAAACTTTCAAAAACATCACCAGGAATATCTGAGATTTTCAAATTTTTTCAATAACAACACACCACCAACATTCGAGGCTATTTTCAACTCTTACTCTTCTTCTCAACTTAGAAAAAAAGACGCCAAGGACCCCCACCTATAGACATTTTTAAATTTTGTTTGTAAACCAAAACACCAGGAACATTTAAGAAAAAAACATTAGGAACTTTTTTAAATTCTTTAAAAAAACATTAGAAACTCACGAAATTTTCTTCAAATCTTTCAAAAAAATATATATATATCAGGAATACCGAGTTTTCAAATTCGTAAAAAATAGTCTAGAGGTCTTCGAGATTGTTTAAAACTTTTCTAAAAACCAAAATACTAGAAAATCCCGATACTTTTAAATTAAAAAAAAATACCGTAGGAGCTCTAGGATTCTTTCTTCTGATTTCTTAAGAAAATACACTACGGGCTCTGAGATACGTTTCAAATCTAAAAAAATCCGTAGAGACCACATGATTCTTTCAAATTCTTTCATGAACTCTCTAGATTCTTTTAAATTCTTAAAGAAAACAATAGAAATCTCCGAAATTTGCATCAAATCTTTCAAGAACAGCTTCAAGAATATATCAAATTTTCAAATTTTTTCAAAGACAAAACACCAAAAACTCTAAGATGCTTTCAAATTTTTGAAAAACAAAACACCAGCAACATCCGAGATTATTTTTCACTATTTAAAAAAAAAAGACTAGAAACCCCCAAAATTTTCTTCAATTCTTTCAAAAATAAAACGCCAGGATGATCCGAGATTTTGTAAAATAAGAAAAAAAAAACACTAGGGTCTACAGACATTTTTCAAATTTTTTGAAAACCAAAACACCAGGAACATTTGAGATTATTGTTAACTCTTAAGACAGAAAAAACACTAAGAACTTCGAGAATATTTTTAAATTCTTTAAAAAACACTGGAAACTCCCGAAATTTTTTCCGAATTTTTCAAAACCAAAACATCAGAGATACCGAGGTTTTTAAACTCTTTCAAAAACAAAACGCCGGGAATTGCAAGGTTCTTTTCAACTCTTAAAAAAGACTCTAGTGGTCTCCGAGATTGTTTAAAACTTTTCCAAAGGACAAAATACTCGAAAAACCCCGAAATTCTTTCTAATTGTTGCAAAAACAACGCTTGGAACCCGAGATATTTTTAAATTAAAAAAATACCGTAGGGGCTCCGAGTTACTTTTCAAATTAAAAAAAAAATCCATAGGGGGCCCATGATTCTTTCAAATTCTTTCATAAACTCCCTGGATACATTTAAATTCTTAAAAAAAAAACATTACAAATCTCCGAAATTTTCATCAAATCTTTCAAAACCAGCATCAGGATTATCTGAAATTTTCAAATTCTTTCAAAAACAATACACCAGGAACCCCAAGATTCTTTTAAATTCTTAAAAATTAGTCTAGGGTTCTCCGAGATTGTATAAAACTCTTCCAAAAACCAAAATACTAAAAAAACCCTAAATTCTTTCAAATTCTTGGAAAAACAATACTTGGGACTCCGAGATTTTTTCAAATCTAAAAAAAATTCGTAGGGGCCCCAGGATTCTTCCAAATACTTTCATGAACTCCCTAGATTCTTTTAGATTCTTCAAAAAAAAAGCATTAGAAATCTCCGAAATTTTCATCAAATCTTTCAAAAACAACATCCGGAATATCAGAGATTTTCAAATTCTTTGAAAAACAAAACTTCAGCAACATCCGAGATTATATTTAGCTCTCTATAAAAAAAAAAAAACACTAGGAATCCAGAAATTTTCTTCAATTCCTTCAAAAACAAAACGTCAGGAACATTCTGTTATAAAAAACACTAGGAACCACCGATATTTTTTCAAATTCTTTGAAAACCAAAACACCTGGAACATTTGAGATTATTGTTAACTCTTGAGAAAGACAAAAGGATAGGAACCTCTAGAATACTTTTAAAATCTTAAACAAAACACTCCCGAAATTTCTTTCAAATCTTTCAAACATAAAACATGAGGAATACCGAAATTTTCAAACTCTTTCAAAACAAACCAGGAACCCCGAGATTTTGCGAAATTCTTAAAAAAGACTCTAGGGGTCTCCGAGATTGTATAAAGCTCTTCTAAAAACCAAAATACTAAAAAAACCCTAAATTTTTTCAAATTCTTGGAAAAGCAATACACTTGGGACTCCGAGATATTTTTCAAATCTAAAAAAATCCGTAGGGGCCCCAGGATTTTTCCAAATACTTTCATGAACTCTCTAGATTCTTTTAGATTCTTAAAAAAAAAAACCATTGGAAATCTCCGAAATTTTCATCGAATCTTTCAAAAACAACATCAGGAATATCAGAGATTTTCAAATTCTTTGAGAAACAAAACTTCAGCAACATCCGAGATTATTTTTAACTCTTTATAAAAAAAACACTAGGAATCCCGAAATTTTCTTCAATTCCTTCAAACACAAAACGCCAGGAACATCCGAGATTCTGTAAAAAGAAAACACTAGGAACCACCGATATTTTTTCAAATTCTTTGAAAACCAAAACACGTGAAACATTTGAGATTATTGTTAACTCTTGAGAAAGAGTTAGGAACCTCGAGAATACTTTTAAAATCTTAAAAAAAACACTAGAAACTCCCGAAATTTGTTTCAAATCTTTCAAAAATAAAACATCAGGAATACCGACGTTTTCAAACACTTTCCAAAACAAACCAGGAATCCCGAGATTTTGCTAAATTCTTAAAAAAGACTCTAGGGGTTTCCGAGATTGTATAAAACTCTTCCAAAACCAAAATACTAGAAAGCCCCAATATTCTTTCAAATTCTTGCAAAAACAACCCTTAGAAACCGAGATACTTTTAAATTAAAAAAAATACCGTAGAGGCTCCAGGATTCTTTCCTTTAAATTCATAAGAAAATACACTAGGTGGAAAAAATCCATAAGGGGCCCATGATTATTTCAAATTCTTTCATGAACTCCCTAGATTCATTTAAATTCTTAAAAAAAAGATATTACAAATGTCCGAAATTTTCATTAAATCTTTCAAAAACAACTTCAGGTTTATCAGATTATATGAGATTTTCAAATTCTTTCAAAAACAAAACACCACGAACGCAGAGATTATTTCAAATTCTTTGAAAAACAAAATCCCAGCAATATCCGAGATTATTTTTAACTCTTTAGAAAAAAAAAAAACTAAAGGAGCCTCCGAAATTTTCTTCAATTTCTTCAAAAACAAAATGCGAGGAACATCTGATAATCTATAAAATAAAAAAATACTAAGAACTACCGACATCTTTTTAAATTCTTTGAAAAACAGAACTCCAGAAACACTTAATATTATTGTTAACATTAAGAAAGAAAAAACACTAGGAATCTTGAGAATACCTTTAAAGTCTTTAAAAAACACTAAAAACTCCTTAAATTTTCTTCAAAACTTTCAAGAACAAAACATCAGGAATTCCAGGGTTTTCAAACTCTTTCAAAAACCCGAAATTCTTTCAAATTCTTGCAAAAACAACACTTGGAACTCGAGATAATATTAAATTCTAAAAAAAAATATCGCAGGGGTACAGGATTAGTTCAATTTCTTTGAAAATAACACGCCTGAACTCTAGAGATTCTTTTAAATTAAAAAAAAGCAACAAACGCCTCAGATTTTCTTCTAATACTTGCAAAAACAAAACACTATGAACATTTGAAATTCTTTTAAATTCTTAAAAGAAATCAAAGACATCCGAGATTCTTATAAATTCTTTAAAACAACACTAGGGACTATCAAAATTCTTTCAAATCTTCGAAGAACAGAACACATCCTCGACGTTCTTTTCTATTCTTTTAAAAAGAAAACACTCTTTTAAATTCTCTCAAATTCTTTGAACAATAGAACACCATCGATCCCGAGATTCTTTAAATTCTTAACATAAAACACTGCGGACCACGAGATGCTTTTCACATCTTAATCTTTCCGATTCTTTCAAATTTTTTCATGAGCTCCCTAGATTCTTTTAAATTCTTAAAAAAACATTAGAAGCCTTCGAACTTTTCTTCAACTCTTTCAAAAACAGCACCAGGAATGTCTGGGATTTTCAAATTCTTTCAAAAACAAAACACCAACAAATCAGTTTTCTTCAATTTCTTCAAAAACAAAACGGCAGGAACAACTGAGATTCTATCAAATAAAAAAACACTAGGGACTACCGACATCTTTTCAAATTCTTTGAAAACCAAAACCTCAGGAACACTTCAGATTATTGTTAACCTTAAAATAGAAAAAACACTAGGAACCTCGAGAATATCTAGAAATTTTTTTCAAATTCTTTGAAAACCAAATACACCAGAGACATTTGAGATTATTGTTAACTCTTGAGAAAGAAGTAACACTAGGAGACTCGAGAATACTTTTAGATTATTTAAAAGAATTCTAGAAACTCCAGACATTTTTTTCAAATCTTTCAAAAACAAAACATCAGTATTCCGATATTTTCAAATTCTTTCAAAAACCGAACACCAGGAACCCCGAGATTCTTTTGAATCCTAAAATTGACTAAAAGTCTCCGAGATTGTTTAAAACTCTTTCAAAAACCAAATACTGGACAACTCCGAAATTCTTTCAGATCTTTGCAAAAGCAACACTTGGCCCTAGAGATACTATTAAGTGGTAAAAAATCGTAGGAGCCCCAGGATTCTTTCAATTTCTTTGAAAGTAACTCACTTGAACTGTGGAGCCGTCTCCAGAAAAAAAATCAAAATTCTTTCAGCCATCGGAGAGACCCGCAAGGTTTTATCAAAGTCTTTGAAATACAAAACACCAGGACTCCAGGGTCCTTCCAAATTCATAATAATAAGTTGTAAAATTATTATAGGCGAAAATTTTAAAATTCCATTTTCCACACCATCTTATGCGAACCCATGATGACCTTTTTATGATATTCTTCTCATTTTATATTTCAACTTTCAAATCTATTTCATAAATAAAGAATTATTTCATTAAAATTTAATATCTGTTTTTTTTAGGACAATAAAAGGGCAAGGGTACGTAAGTAATATACAGAGTGTTAACTGGAAAACTGTTATATATATTTTTTTAAACAAACGATGTTATTGACTGTTGTCTGGCCAAACTATGTCTTCAATCCACTTAATGTAATACGACACTCGAGTATTTACAGATGGGGCACCAACACATGCTCTTCCAAACGAGATCAGGCCTACTACATCATACGTACACAATGTGGCGTCGCTACTGTGATATATTTGTATCGGACCACCAGTGTCACCCTAAAATTAGAAACATTTTGATTAAACTACGAACAAAAGGTTTTTCTCTTTTATTTTTGTATTTCAGTTTCATTATTGACTAAAAAGATAAATAAAAGAAATTTCGATTTAAATTTTTTTAAATAATATAGTATAATAATATCGTTTTAACTGACCTGACAAGTATCCTTGCGTTCATTACCTCCTCCCGTGCAAACTTGTATGTCATTTACAATTCCTTTGTCTAGATTCGTGGCGTTTTTGTAACTGTCACTGCAGGTCTGGTGGTCTATAATTTTTAGTGTTACTTTCAGCAAATTTTCACTCTTGCTCCTGCCCACAGATTCTGTAGAACCCCAGCCTGTAGCAATCCCGTCTGTGACGTGGATGACAGAGTCTGTATACAGACAAGCCGGACGTACATACGAAGTCATTTCCACTGGTTTCTCCAGTTTTACGAGTCCTATGTCGTTATAGACACTGCCTCTTTTGTAATCTGGATGTGCCACTTTCTCTACAACTTTTATTTCTTGTCTGTGGTTGGGGTCGTTGATATTTGTGACCCCTAACAACACCAACTTTGGTCCATCACTAAAATAGAAAAAAAATTGTTTGGCTCCGTTTGCGATAATTATTTTTAAAACTTACAATTGATGTGATGTAAACAGACAATGCGCTGTTGTCAAAACATGCTGCTCACTGATTAGTGACCCTCCACATAACCACCGTAAATTGTCAGAATTCTTGCTCTGATATCCCAACAGCGCCATATGCGGGAACTCGGCGCTTCCAGCCCGATCTCCTCCAACGATGCGCTTTACAATTTTGTGTCCGCATATTTCTTTCTCTTGTGTATACGAAACATATTCTAGACATTCTAAACGCAATTTGTATTTGGTTTTATTTTGTGTGAAGACGAAATGGTTTTTACGTACTGCTTTCACTTATGGAACCTGGTCGGCGAGTCTTTGGGCAGCAAACTATGGCTTGTGTCCCTTCGAAGCCACAAGTTTGGGGCAGTTTGTGAAAAAACACTACTTGATCTCGAATCTCCTTACATTGGGTTAAAAGTTTGCATAGTCCGGGAGAGTTGGACGATTCATGGGTGCAAGAGTTTCCTGCAAACGCACTCACGTTAAATTATGATATAAAAATAAGGAAGAAAAACTCACCAATAATCTCTTGTGTGTAAATATTTTGGAGCGAGATTACAGTAATAATAAACAGAAATTTCAACATTTTTGAATATTTAATAGCTCATTCTCACACGCACACTCTTTAACTTTATTAAGTTTATCAGCATATGAAATTATTATTATTACACATCTAATGACGTCAGGGACAACCGCGCTTCCTCTTCACCTTGTAGGTCATCGCAAATGATAATAATTGCTTACGAGATAGAGTGGTATACGTTGTTTTCCATTTATTTATTTATTTATTGTCAACGATAAAAATAAAATATTTCGCCTTAGCTCCGAACAATTATAAAATTTATGCTTAAGTCTCCTGTTTTCGTCCGTCTGTGTACCATCTGTCCAGATTTTTATTAGACAGATAATTTCCGGAACGGGTTTACGGTCAAAACTTATTTATATTATTTTCAATACTTCTCTACCTTCTGGTACATTGAACTAACTGCCAATATCAATTTTGTCAGCAATCCGCAAGTTATTTGAAAATATAGTCTGGTCTAAATTAATTCCATATCTTAAAACTATAATAACACCAAAGCAACATGGTTTTGCCAAAAAAAGGTCTACCATAACTAGGCTTCGGATCTTAGGTTTTTTGCCTTTTTACATCTTCTTCAGGCATTGCAGCGAAATTTATATATTTATCCGAATTTAAAAAATTCTGTTTATTTAACGCCCAGTTATTACTACCTAAAATGCCTAATTTACCGTTAGAGGCCTAAAGTATTAATTAAACGACCTAATTGTAAATTTTAAAAGACTTAAAATAGGATTCCACGACCAACGAAGCGGACGTGCTTGCACAATAGAGATTTGCCGTGAATTCATTGTTTTGGCTGGCAGATTGTTTAAAAATGGGTTGTAAACAACGCCCTTGAGTTTAATAGTACGGGTTGGTTTCGCCAACTGACAACGCTGGCCTGCATTTCATTTAGATTATAGCCGGAAGGAGGCGAATCTCTGAAAAAGCATTTTATTTTAGAAGTTTATTGTTAGTGATACTGAGTGTCTTTGCATGTTAGTGAATGTGCTGGGGCCGGTTTTGATTTTTGTGCATACAGTAGTAGTAGTAGTAAGTGTTTATTTTTTTACCCTACGGGCTTAAAAAAATTCTTGACACTACAATTTTTTTCCCTAGTTAACAAAAACCAATAAATACATTTTATAAACTAAATAACTAATTTTTCTTTCCTTTACCCCATCCCCCTTGCCCCAGCCTTACTCTTGTCCTCTCCACTTCTTTCATCCATTCCACCCCTCTTCCGTCTTCATTCAATATCTCTGTCACACTCTCCTCTCTTTCTTTGCTCTCCTCAAAGTCATGCAGGATGTGCTCTATCGTTTCTCGCCCTTCTCCACACATCCTACACATTCTCTCACCTTCGCTTACCCAAAACTTATTATTTCTTTCTTCATTTCTACACCTAAATCTCGCAATAATTTTTTTTTCTTTCGCGCTTTCTCTATCTAGGTACTTTGGTATTGTTTCTGTTATTATCTTTCTATAGTCTGCATTGTACCTAGAATTACTTGCACTCGCTCTTCTCTCTTGTTTATCTATGTCTCTGTCACGCATACACAACTCTTCTCTCATACTCACCCCCATTTCTCTCTTTCTCTCTATTTCCATCCATGCGTATCCCAGTCTTTCATAATATCCTTGTCTACCGTTGTGATGTTCTTTCCCTGCTTCCTTTTTTTTTTCCTTCCAGCATTCATACAATATCCTACATTCCTCTCTTTCTTTCAACCTTTCATCATATTTTACAGCTCTTTTCCCAGTGTATACTCTTAATTTCTCTCGTTTACATTCTTCTCTTACTATATAGCCTGGCGTCTCTTTCCGTAGCCCTAACATCCACCTCAAATATTTTTCTTGTACTGCTTCAATCTCTGCATATTCCTTCCATCCCCATATCTCCACTCCATACATTAATACACTCCTAACTAAACTATCAAACATTTTCATCCTTTTTCTTACGTCATGTCCAAATATTCTCTCACCTATACTCCACATCATTCCCATTATCTGCATTTCTTTGACCCTTCTTTCTCTTATGTGTGCTTTTACCGTGTTAGTTGTTGTAAACTTAAATCCTAAATATTTAAACTCCTTTACTGTGTCTATGATTCGATCTTCCCAACGCCACACTTTTTCCTCCCCTTTTCTCCCTTTTTTTCTAAACACCATCATTTTTGTTTTTTCTACATTTACCTCCAGTTTCTTTCTTTTAAAGTATCTTTGCAGATTTTTTTTATCTCATTCATTCCACATTCATCCTTCGCCAATATTACCAAATCATCTGCAAATGCCAAACACCATACCTTTTCTCTCCCAACCACAGTTCCTCCCGCTTATACTCCTCTAAACATTTCCTCGATATCGCTTATGTAACAAGCAAACAGACTGGGACTTAATGGGTATCCCTGTCTCAATCCTTTCGTCGTCCAAAACATTTCGTTTTCTATTCCTCGCACTCTCACACTAGTCACTGTCTCTCTATAAATCTCTCTTGCTGCTACAATTAACTTTTCACTCAGTCCTCTTCTTTCCATGCATGCCCACAAACACTCTCTGTCCACCGTATCAAACACGGCTTTTAGGTCTACAAACAGTGCATATACCCGACCTCGTTCCTTTAGCAACTCTTTTTCTATTAGATGATGCAGGATATATACATTGTTCATAGCCCCTCTACCTCTTCTAAATCCCGCTTGACTTTCCGGTAATATACTCTTTTCGTTCATCTCTGTCACCAACCTTTCATTTAACACCATTGCGTACAGTTTATATGCCGTATTTAGAAGAGTTATTCCCCGATAATTCTCTACTTTTTCTTTACTACCCTTTTTATGAATTGGGAATATTTGTCCTACTCTCCATTCCCTGGAAAAACCTTTACCCGTCCACACATCATTCATTAACTCGCTCAATCTTTCAATCATCCCATCCGTCCCAAATATCCACACTTCGTTTACCAACCCATCCTTCCCCAGTGCTTTTCCCCTTTTCAGTCTTCCTACTTGTTTTCCTACTTCCTCTACTCGAATCTCCGCTTCCCTTTCTCTACCACCAATCCCGGTTTTACTATCTTGCACTACAATTCTCTCTTCCTTTCCATTCAACAGTTTCATAAAATGCTTCTTCCACTGTATTATAGGTATGTCTTCACTAATCGTGATTTTGTTCTTCCGTTCTTTATTTATAGACTGCCATACCTCTTGCTCAGTTTTTATGGCTTTAATTTTTTCTTCTTCTTCTTGCTGTATCTCTTCCATCTTTTCTTTGCATCGTTTTCTATAATTATGTTTTGCTTGCCAGTACTCTTCTTTGATACCTTTCCCCTTTTTCCACCTTCGTAAACATTTCCTTGCTTCTGTTTTTAAATCTCTGCATCTGCTATCTCACCATCTATTTCTCTTTTCTGAATTTGTCGTTACAATTTCTTTTCTTATGGCTGCTTTTTCAATTTCTCTTTTTATTTCTTCCATTTTCTTTTTAGTTCCTTTTTCTTTAAATTCCACTTCCAACATTTTTTTTTTATAATGCTCAATTCCTTTTTCATTCTATACCCATATCTTCTTCTCTTTTCCTACTTCATTACTTAAGCATCCGCTCCCTCTACTTATGCCCCTCACTTTTACTTCTAGTGGCATGTGATCGGAGTCCACTCTTTCTCCTATCTTGAATGTTTCTACCTCTTCTTCTGCTAATCCGTTTACTATTACGTAGTCTATTACCGATTCCCCTCTTTTACCTATCCAGGTAAATTCCCCCCCCTCGTCCCCTTCCTCCACCCCATTCAAGACTTCCCAACCTCTTTCTTCAATTAATTCCCATAGCAATTTTCCGTCTTTATTTTCTACTTTATCTTTCGATTTTCGTGTGTTTTTCCCGTCTTTTTCCCTGCTTTTTTCCCTATTCATGGCATTAAAGTCCCCTCCTAACAATAGAAATTCTTCTTCGGACTCTTCGATTTTTTCTTGTATTTCTTGTTTCCTGTTTGTCATTCCTCTATTATATATTGTGCAGATTCTCCATCTTTTTTTATTTACAATCAGTTTTCTTTCAACTAAGCCTTCCATTTCTATTGCCCCCTCTCCTATTTCTTTTATATCTTTCTTCACTCCTGTTATGATTCCACCTTTTGTTCTACCCTTGCGTTTTTCTTTTTTTGCCCCTTGCAATTTCCACTGAAATTCCTTTGGCAACACGTCTTTCAGTTTGTTCCAGTCTCTCTCTAGTATCCATGTTTCTGTTAGTCCCACAAAATCAAAATTTTTCACGTAGTTCCAAAATAAGTTCTTTCTTTTTCAAACCCGCAATATTCCAAAAGAGTAATTTTAAACCACTTTTATCTTCCCCATTCTTCTTTCCCATTCCCCTATTATGTACAAAATCTACATTCTTAAACCTAAAGTCTTTATTTGTCCCATCATTACTACCCCTCCCCTTTGTGTTTCTTTCTTCGGTTAGTGCTGACTTGATTTGAGAAATTTTTCTTCCAATTTTCCTTTATTTTCATTCCATATATACATTTTGTCCCATACTTCCAGCTTCTTATATCCCACCCTTGTTGTGTATCCTTTTTTTCTTTCCTCTTTAGCTATCTCCCTAATTCCTTTTTGAATTTTTTGCTCTTGTACTGTCCAATCATTATCAATATATATTCTCTTTCCTCTCAGTTTATTTTTATTCTTCAACACCTCTTGTTTTTCCTCCCAAAGCGTCTTAACCAGTATTTTCTTGCTTTCTTCTTTCCCTATAATTATTGTTTCCAACACTTTTACTTCTACCTCAATTTCTTTTTTCAAAAATTCCTCTACTTCTTTTGCATGTGTTCTTTCCCTTATTTCCATACCCGTAATTATGAAATTGTTTGTTCTTTCTTCCCTCTCTTTTTTTCCACCTTCTTCTCTAAATTATTGATTCTTTCTTAGAAGCTTCTCTCCTTTTGTTTCCATTCTTCTCTTTCTCTTTCCAGTATTCCATTTATTGTCTGTAATTCTTTTTTTACCCTTCTATTTTCTTCTCTCAGTTGTTTCATTTCTTCCATTAGTTGCTTCATCATTTCCATCAACGGCTCTTGTCCTTGCTTTATTTGTTCTCTTTCTTTCATTTTCAATGTTTTTACTGGCTCTTTGCGCGGCGAGTCGTCTTCTCTCGTGCGCCTCTGCTGTCGCTTCCCTCACTATCAGCTCTTTCTCGCCAGGCCGCAAAAACGTCACCAATCTTATCACTCTCAATCCTTTTCTGATTCGACATAACCTTGTTGTTTTTCTTGCCTCACCAGTTGCACTCGCGTTTTTTTTTTTACGAAATATTCTCTTGTGCTGCTTTTACTATCACGTAATCACACTTGTTACCCCTGAAAGTCACTGTTAACTATGACTTTAGCTTTAGCTGTTGCTAACAATGTGCACTCGCTCGCTGCTCAATCAAGAATACAGTAAAGAATCCTCAAAATGCCTAAGGTAAAATCATCCATGAAAGACAAAATCAAATTATGGTTAGGAATAATTTGGACACTAATTTTCAATTTCCTTCTTCAACCAAAGACAATGAGTTATTCTGTAAAGTGTGTAGAAAAGTTCTAAGTAAACATTTAAAATACTGAAGCTTGAATTATATTCACATTTTTGTTTCCTAGTTTAAGTGCGAAAAAAAATCACACTTTGAACAACACTGCAGTGGCGATGCACATAAAAAGAACGAGAATAAATCCAGTAAAGAGACTTTATTAAACATTAGTTGCGACAATGATTTTACGCAATTTTGCACAAATTTATGTAGGGCATTTACCGCAGCAAATATTCCATGGAATAAAGTTAGTTGTCCTGAGTTTAAAAATTTTATGCATAAATATACAAGAAGGCATTTATCCTCAGAAAGCACTCTGAGAAAAAAATATTTACCAAAAGATTACGATATGGTGAGCACTAGAATTTTTATTTAAAAACTTTTTAACATAAATTTTATAATTTACAGGTGATTAAACAAATTAGAAATTCTATTGGCAATAATGATATATGGATTAGCGTCGATGAGACGACGGACAGATTAGGAAGATACATAGCCCATTTAGTAATTGGAAAATTATCTTCTGAAGAAGCTGGCCGTCCATTTCTACTAGCTTTGAAGCAGCTTGATAAAACTAATAGCAACACAATCTCGGGATTTATAAACGAATCCTTGGGTGTGCTATTGATAATTTTAAGCATTGAAATTATTATAATTTATTTAGTTGTTAATTTGTAGCTTTATTGTGGCCAAAAGGAACTGAACACAAAAAAGTTAAATGGTTTGTATCAGATGGTGCATCATACATGATCAAAACTGGTACTAATTTGAAGGTGTTTTATGAAAATATAACACACTTAACATGTATAGTATATGGGTTATATTTAGTGTCTGAAACAATTAGACTGAATTATCCAAATGTCAATAGGATAATTAACAATTGTTTCAATGCAAACTCCAGCATACTCGCTGCTAGTATTTCTTTTATCGACATAATAAATAAGTTAATCACTTGTAGGTCAACGCGGGTGATGTTGATTGGTTGCGTCAATAATTTTACAACATCCATCCTTTTTTTCTCCTTTTTAATGTAAGAGCTAAAAATATCCAAAGCTTAATATATCAATTTTTCAATTTTCAACCACTTTTCGACTACCTTCGAAATTACCTCAAGAGATTTTTGTAAATTTTGGCCTCTACAAGTCATTTTCGGTTTTATACTTCGAATATTCCTAACATTTTCTAAAATCTCTAATGCAAAATTTGTCAGTTTTTAAAATCTTGCTCCGGGATCATAAACATCTGTATTTTTAATTAATCAAGATTATATTGTGAATATGTGGCCGATCACATAAATAAAAACACATGTAAGATATGGTCGAAATCACAATAATGTCTGTCACTCGGTACACACTTCGCTGTGAGAGGGGCGTCCGAGAATAACCGTTCCAAAATTCAAGTCATAGAACACACAAATGAAGAAAGAAATGAAGAAGCAGTATTGGATCTAGCGGACCATTCCAGACACTGCTATTACCAAGATTTGAGTAATAATCGTGCGACAAAGTGCAATTTTTTAACTTCCTTTATTTTCTCCAAAAATATTAAATGGATTAAAATAGCCGATCTTATTAAATGTTTTCTGGCCAAACTACGTCTTCAATCCACTTAATGTAGTAGAATAGTCTGGTATTTACAGAGGGACCATCACATCTTATTCCAAATGATATCACGCCCACTATATCATACATACACAGTGTAGGGTCGTTGTTGTGATATATTTGTATAGGACCACCAGCGTCACCCTAAAAAACTTCAACCTTCTTTTCAAACACCAAATGACTTTAACTGTAGATGCTAGGTAATTGAAAATAATATTTTAACTACTGACCCTACAAGTGCCCTTCTCTCTGCTACCTCCTCCTGTGCAAATATGCATGTCATTGATAATCCCTTTGCCTATACCCCTTAAGGTTTTGTAACTGTCATTGCAGGACTGGTAGTCCACAATATCTTCAGTTACTTTGAGCAGATCTTCATTCGTGTTATCTCTAAAATAGACTGTACTGCCCCACCCAGTAGCAATAGTTTCTGTGACAGGAATGTCAAAGTTTGTATAAAGACAAGCTGGACGAACGAACGAATTGACTTCTACTGGTTTCTCGAGTTTTAAGAGTCCTATATCGTTATATGGATTTCCTTTATTGTATTCTGGATGTGCCACTCTATTTGCGACTTTTATTTCTTGTCTGTGGCTGGTGTCGTTAAGATTTGTGACCCCTAACACCACAAACTTTGGTTCACCACTAAAACAGAGAGATTATTAAAAATTAACCAGTTCAAAGACCAAACCAATTTTAAAAACTTACTACTTTTTTGACAACAAACAATTTCCTCCTGTCAAAATATACTGCTCGCTGATGAGTGATCCTCCACATAACCACTTAGGTTGTTCTGAGTCCTGCGTGTGATATGCTAAGAGTGCCATATGCGGAAACTCGGTCCTACCAGCTAGTTTTCCGTCAGTTATGCGCTTTACAATTTTGTGTCCACATTCTTGTTTCTGTCTTGTATTAGAGGCGTATTCTCTACATTCTTAAACACAATTTGAATGTGGTTTTATTTGGTACGAATTTGCATTTTTGCATAGTTCGTATGCTTATGTAACCTGGTTGCCGAGGTTTTGGGCAGCAAACTATGGGTTGTGTTCCTTCGAAGCCACAAGTTTGGGGTAGTTTGTGGGTTAAGGCTAGCTCATCCCGAATTTGCTTGCACTGGGTTAACAATTTACACAGTCCTGGGGAGTTGGTTGACTCAGATATGCAAACGCTACCTGTGGAAGGAAATGCACAAATTGGTCTGATTTCCAGGAGAAAAGTAACTTTTCTTTGTTTTATTTTTTTAGTAGCTGGTTGAAAATGAAATTGTATTAAACGACGCTAAAATTTATTCAACAAATTATATTAATATCTACAATAGAAGTAGGGAAAAAACTTACCAATAATGTCAAGCGTATAAACATCCTTAACCGAGACTACAGCAACAACTATAAGAAATTTAAACATGTTTTTGATATTTAAAAGCTCACTCGAGTGAGCATCTTACACTCTTTGCCATTATTACTTTTATCAGTATAAGATGAAACGGGTATTTTTAAACGTCTGGTGATTTCAAGGATGACAACGTTTCTTCTTAACTTTGTAGGTCAATGTGTTGTTAAAGACGTGTTTTTTTAGATAACTGGTTTCTTATTTATTTATTTTTAACATTGACAATACGGTTATTTTATTATTATAATTATTAATTCAAACCAGTCTATTCATTACTGAAACAATCTGGTTTGAGACTTGCAACTGCAATACTTTTAGTGGTAGTAGTATTAATTTATTATTTGCTTTACAAGCTTAATAATTAGTAGCTCTCTTGGGGAATTTCTGGATAGTATCTATCGAGACGATTGGTAGAAATTGCCTTGCTTGGTAGAGGGGTGACATATGTCATTGTGTTTTTGTTTGTGGTGAGTCAAAGCCCGTGGAAATATACGAATTTTCAACCAATGAATTTGTTTTATTGTTTTTAAATTCATAGTTCATGTTAGGATTTTAATCGTTAACTGGTTTTAACACAATTTAACAGGCATGAGATTGTTCAGATAATACACTTTTAATTTATTATTTGCCTTACATGCTTAATAAGATTCCCAGTAGGGGTACAAATTAACTTATTCTACATAATACAAATAAATCAATAAAAATAAATAAAATAAATTGAACATTCGAGTTTTATATGGTAATAATTGTTCTATTATTTCTGGTTGCCCACCCTTCGCCTTAGTTCCCTTATCTTCTGTACTTCTTGCATCAAGTCCTCTTCCATCTTCGTTTAGCACTTCTTTCCTACTTTCCTCCGATTCTCTCAATCCTTCACATCCTTCCAGCATATGTTCTATTGTTTCTCCCTCTCTCCAACATATCCTACACCTTCTGGCAGTTTCATCCAACCAAAAATGATCCTCTTTCTCTTCATTTCCACACTTAAATCTCGTCATCATTATTTTCCCCTTTATACTCTCTCTCTGTACTTTGGTACTTCTTCCTTTACTATTTTTCTATACTCTCTCTCTTCTTCCGTCGTTGTGATTCCTTTATTTATTTTGCAGCGTTTTTTTCTCACAACCTCCCAATAATTCCATAAAGTGTCTTTTCCATTCATGCATTTTAATTTTCCTACTGACTTCAGTCTTCCTTCTCCGTTCCTTGTTTTTTTATCTCCATACTTCTTCTTCTGTTTTCAGGAACTTTATTGTTTTCTCTTCTTCTTCTCGTTTTTCTCTTTTTCTTTCTTCACATTTTCTCCTATAATTCTCTCTTGCTTCTAAGTACTTTTCTTTCCTTCCCCTGTTATTCTTCCATTTTCTTAATTTTTCCCTTGCTTTTCTCTTCAACTCACTACATTCTCCGTTCCATTCATTATTCCTCTCTTGCCATATGTATATCTTTCTTTTTTCATAGCTTCTCCAATTAAGTTGATCAGTTCTGCTATCATAGCTTCTATATCTTCTTTTACTTCGAATTTCTTTTTTTTCTAGTCTACTTCTGTGTATCTTTGAATTCCCTCCTCATCCCATATTCTTTTTTCTATTTCGTTTCTTTCGTTTTCTTCTCTCTTGTTTTTCGTACTCTTGCTCTTTTCCTTTGATTTTTATTTCTAGTGGCATGTGGTCTGATTCTACCCTTTCCCTCACTTTGAAACGCTCTATTTCTTCCCACGCCTCTTCGTTGACAATTCCGTAGTCTATAATTGCTTGTCCACTAGCCCCTACGTACGTCCATTCTCCTTCTTCATCTCCTTCCTTCTTTCCTTTCAAAATTTTCCATCCCATTTCTTCTATTATCTTTCACAATATTTTCCATTCTTTGTTATTTGCTTTGTCTTTTGATCCTCTTTTCTCCACGTTTTCTTTATCTATTATTCTTGTCCCCTTATCGCCCAGTCTTGAGTTAAAATCCCCTCCTATAAGTATTTTTTCATTTCCTTTTTCTTTTGTTTCCTTTTCTATGTTTATCTTGGTTTCCTCCATTTTCTTGCTATAAACGATTATTATTTCTTCATTAGTCCGTTTTTATTATTCCTTCCATTTTCCTATTCTTCCATTTTTTTTCGAATTCCCATTACTACTCCCCCGCTTGTTCTCCCTTTTTTCGTTTCCTTTGTCGCCCTTAAACACTCCCACACATATTCTTGTGGTAGTGTCTCTTCAAATTTCTCCCAGTTTTCTCTTTGTACCCATGTCTCTACTAGCCGCACCACACCAAATTTTCCCACGTATTCCCAGAACTCCTTTTTCTTTTTTCGCAACCCTTGGACATTCCAAAACAGCACCTTCACCCCTTTTTCTCCTAATTTTGTACCAGCTTACCTTTTTTCGATTTCCCTATCTGCATCTTCCTTTTTCTTTGCCTTGTTTCCTTCCATTTTTCTTCCTTTTCTTTTGGCTCTTTACTAAAAATTTTCTAACTTATCGAGTTAACTTTTTATATCCCATTCTAACCATTTTCCCTTTATTTCTCTCTTTTGTTGCCTCTTGTTTTATTTTGATTTGAATTTTTCTTTCCGTTTTCGTCAGATCACCATTTATGTAAATTGACGACCCTTTTCTTTTCTTGCTTTTCATTACATTTATTTTTTCTTCTCTATTTTCGAATTCCACTACATACACTTTCTCTGCAATTTTCTACGCACTTTTAACTTTACTCTCTACTTTGGCTTTCTCTTCTAAAAATTTTGTCACCTTTTCAATTATCTACTTCTGCTCTCCTGTTCCTATTTCCATTCCCATTATCACTACTTTGTTTCTTCTCTTTTCTTTCTGAGTACGATCTAGGTGACTTTCTACTTCACCCACTCTCTTTCTAGATTTTACTCCTGTAGTTGATCTCTTGCTTGCTTTAATTCTTCTCTTATTGTTTTAGGCTCCTCTTTAAGCTGTGTATTCCATTCCTTCAATAATTGTTTATAACTTTCTCTCATGTCATCTCTGATTTGTGTCGCAAGTTCGCTGATCATCTTCTGGTACAACTGAAAAATCGGGAGGGTAAATTAATAATGAACGAGAGTTACTAGAAAAGTTTTATTGTCTGATATTTCCAGTTAGAGCGAGGAATGTAGTACAATTAAAATAACCGAGTTTATTGATTATTCTCTGGCCAAACTATATCTTCAATCCACTTAATGTAGTGAGACACTCGAATGTTGACAGATGGAGCACCACCACATGCTTTTCCAAACGAAACTACGCCCACTATGTCGTACATACACGAGCTTTTGTCGTTATTGTGATGTATTTGTACTGGACCACCAGTATCACCCTAAAAATTTAGAAGAATTTGATTTATACCACAGCAATATTAATAGAAAATCGCAGGTTTCGGATTCAGATGAAAACATATTTTGGATAGTAATGTTGTTTCAAATGAAATTGTAAACTTTTGTGTTTTCGAGTGTAGTACCAACTTTTTTCTACTACTATTTAACTTAAAAGTTCTATCAGGATCCGAAGGAAAAGTTGTCCATTGTATCAATCATAGCAACTACATGAAAATGATGTTTTAACTAACCTGACAAGTATCCTCTAGTTCGTTACCTTGTGTGCAAATATGCATACTATCTATAATTCCTCTTTTTAGCTTCCTAATGCTTTGATAACTCTTATTACAAACCTCATATTCTGTAATATCTAGTGTTACTTTGAGCAAATCCTCACTGCTATCTCCTCCCCATTCTGTCTGACCCCATCCAGTAATAACAACTTTTCCAACAGGAATGTCAAAGTGTGTATTAAGACATGCCGGACGCACATACGAACTCATTTCTATCGGTTTTTCCAGTTTTATTAGACCTATGTCGTGATAGTACGATGTATTGTTGTATTCTGGGTGTGATATATACTTTTCAATTTTTATTTCTTGGCTGTGGTCAGTGTCATTCAGATAAGTTACCCCTAACAACACTACTTGTGGCCTACCACTAAAACAGAGAAGAAACAAATTTTATTTTGTAACATATTATTCTAAATTATCAAACGATTTTTTTTACCAACTGAATTATTTCTTCCAAACTCACATATAAATGTGAAGTAGACCAAACGCCGCTGTCAAAATATATTGTTCGCTGATAAGTGATCCTCCACGTAACCACATATAATTGTCAGAATCTTCCATCGGAAATCCCAATATCGCCATATGGGGGAACTCCGTTCTTCCAGCTCGTTTTCCTCCAACGATGCGCTTTACAATATTGTGTCCACATAATTGTTTCTCTTTTGTGTGCGACGTATATTCTCTACATTCTTAAACGGAATTTGTTTTGGTGTTTGGTTCTATTAACACGAAGGGCGTTTTTACATACTGCTTTCGCTCATGTAACCTGGTCGGCGAGTCTTTGGACAACAGACTATGGCATGTGTTCCTTCGAAGCCACAAGCCTGAGGCAATTTTTGGGAAAACACTACTTGATCTCGAATCTCTTTGCATTGTGTTAATAGTTTGCACACACCGGGAGAGTTAGATGATTCAAGGGTGCAAGGGTTTCCTTGAAAAACAAATATAGGAACTGAAATCAATTTAACGAGACAAGATCAGGCGCCCATTGCCCCCCCCTGACACACGACCGAGGTACTTTATTTTGACCAATTTCAAAATTTTGAAATCACTTCATTTTGTAAATACAGTACAACCTCTATAATCCGAACTCACGATTGTCTCAACATCCAGTAATCCGAACAGAGGCTATTTGAAGTCGATGCCTCTTTAATCCGAACAAAACTCTACAATCCGATCTGAACTTGAAAACATGCATCTACTTTCAAAAATGACGCAAGATCTTTCTGCATATGTTGTATGGAATACATATTTTGAAATTTTTAAAAATTGCGATATTTCAAAGCACTGAATTAATTAACTAATTCTGGAAAAACGGATGAAGTTATCGGAGACCCAAAATCTACAAGAGAAAGTATTTGGTTAAATTTCGAAAATCGTCGAAAATGGGTCGAAATTTGCATGAGAACAATTTCATTTTCGAAAAAATTTCCTAAAAATTCTGAAAAAATTCAGAGATATATATCCCGACGTGCCGATTCCAAAAATATACCATGTTTATGGTAACGGAGCAATATTTTCGGAAAATTCGCTGTGAAATTCGAATTTTTCGAAATTTTTAAAAATTGCGATATTTCAACGATTGTGGAAAAATGGTTATCGAAGAAATGAAGCCAGAAGTGACTTCTGAGGTCCAAAATCTACAAGAAAATATGTATTTAGTTAAATTTCGAAAATCGTCGAGAATGGGTTGAAATTTGCATAATGGAGGTAATACGAATACATAATGGAAAATTTCATTTTTGAAAAATTCATCTAAAAATTCTGAAAAATTTCGGGGTATAGATCCCGGGGTGTTTATATGTATCTATTATTATCTATTGTTGCTTAAGAATTCTTTAATTTTTGTTTAATAAAATTTAGGTTTATTTCTTGAAGTTTGTTTTCAGTTGTGTATGAAGTTGTTATTCAATTCCCTTTCAGATTTTTGGGAAAATTGCTGATCCGAACAAATCGTTAATCCGAACACACCTTTTTCCCAATTAATTAGGATTATCGAGATTCTACTGTACACTATACGTGGAATGAAAAGAACCAAATGTCACCCATGTTATGTGAAAAAGAGTATACTAGCTAAAATTTTATAAATTTTTTTGTTTAGAACGAATTTCTGGTAGAGAGGTAAAATTGCACAAAAATTGCCCCCCCCGGAACGAAATCCTGTATCCGCGTCTGGACAAGATTGATCTAAATTTATTTAGAATATAGGCGGGCGGAACACTACTGTGTTCTCAAATTTTCTAAAAAATACGGTGAATCTTGATTTGATAAATGTTAAATAAAAAGAAAAATGCATACATTAGACAGTTTCAGTTTTAGAAATTTTTCTTGAGGAAAATAAGGGACGTACAAGAACAAATACAAAAAAAATAATTCATGCATATTGACAATTGCAAAGTGGTTTTTCCGAAATACTCCATGTATGTGGATTTATCTACAAAAGGTTAAATAAACATTAACTGTGTATAATTGTGTATACCTAACCACGTTAGATTAAGAAAATAAAACTTACCAATAATGCCTTGAGAGTAAACATTTTTAACAAAGATCACAATATCACAATCATCTGGAATTTATACATTTCTTTATTGCACACCAACACACACTCTCGTACTCCTACTAGTATTAACGTTGTCTTCGTTAGTTCTTCACCTTGATATTTGGTTCTAAGAAATGATGACCGGTATGCAAGCTGGGCAAGCCACTTTACACACGCGTTTTTCTTAGTATATGTACTTCGTTAAAATTTCAAAATAGTAGTTTTTTGGACCACACGACAAAATTTGATTTCATTTGAACAATTTACAAAATTTTGTGTCTTTTTATATATTTTACAACTATAAAATGGAGGGGGTAAATTAGTAATAAACAATAGTTACTAGAAAAGTTTATTTTCTGTTATTTTCACAGCACAAACTCCCAGTTAAAGTAGACGATTTCATTGGCCATTCTCTAGCCAAACGATGTTTTCAATCCATTTAATGTAGTGAGATACTCGAGTGCTTACCGATGGACCACCAGAACATGATTTTCCAAACGAAATCACCCCTACTACGTCGTACATACACGAGTCGTTGTTATATATTTGTATCGGACCACCAGTATCACCCTAAAAATCAAAAGCATTAATTTCTACAATTCGACGGTCGAATATGAAAAAAACGGTTGCATTTATCAAAGAAACGAGGCCTAAAGTGAGTTCTAGAGTTCGAAAATGTCAAAATTTGTCCGAAATTTGAAGAAGGGGGAACCAATGGAAAAATTTCACTTTTAAAAAAGTTGTCTAAAAATTCTGAAAAAATTCAAGGATGTAGATTTCGACTTGCTGATTCCAAAAATGTAGAATGTTTAAGGTCACGGAGCAGAATTTTCCCTAGAATCGGTATGAAATGCGAATTTTTTGGGGATTTCTAAAAATTTCGATATTTCAACGGTCGCTTCCGGAAAAACGGTTGAAGTTATGAAAGGAACGAGGCCGAAAGTGAGTTCTAGAGCTCGAGATCTACAAGAAAATGTGTTTAGTTGAGTTTCGAAAATGTCAAAATTTGGCCGAAATTTGGGAGACCATTGAAAAAATTTCACTTTTAAAAAATTGTCTAAAAATTCTGATAAAATTCGGGGATGTAGATTTCGACTTGCTGATTCCAAAAATATAGAATGTTTAAGGTAACGGAGCAGAATTTTTCGCTAGAATCGGTATGAAACGCGAATTTTTGGGGATTTCAAAGATTTCGAGACTTCAACGGTCGATTCCAGAAAAAAGGTTGATGTTATCAAAGGAACGAGGCGGAAAGTGAGTTCTAGAGCTCGAGATCTACAAGAAAACGTGTTTAGTTAAGTTCCGAAAATGTCAAAATTTTGCCGAAATTTGAAGAAGGGGGGACCAATGGAAAAATTTCACTTTTAAAAAAGTTGTCTAAAAATTCTGAAAAAATTCTGCGATGTACATTTCGACTTGCTTATTCCAAAAATATAGAATGTTTAAGGTCACGGAGCAGAATTTTCGCTGGAATCGGTATGAAATGCGAATTTCTGGGAATTTCTAAAAATTTCGATAATTCGACAGTCGATTCCGGAAAAACGATTGCAGTTATCAAAGGAACGAGGCCGAAAGTGAGTTCTACATCTCGAGGTCTACAAGAAAATGTGTTTGGTTAGGTTTTGAAAATGTCAAAATTTGACCGAAATTTGAAAGAGAAATTTCACTTTTAAAAAAGTTGTCTAAAAAATTCTGAAAAAATTCAGGGATGTAGATTTCGACTTGCTGATTCCAAAAATATAGAATATTTAAGTCACGGAGCAGAAATTTCGCTAGAATCGGTATGAAATGCGAATTTTTCAGAATTTCTAAAAATTTCGATATTTCAACAGTCGATTCCGGAAAAACCGTTGCATTTATCAAAGGAACGAGGCCGAAAGTGAGTTCTAGAGCTCGAGATCTACAAGAAAATGTGTTTGGTTAAGTTTCGAAAATGTCAAAATCTGTCCGAAATTTGAAGAAGAAAAACATTAGAAAAATTTCACTTTTAAAAAAGTTGTCTAAAAAATTCTGAAAGATTTCAGGGATGTAAAATTCGACTTGCTAATTCTAAAAATATAGAATATTTAAGGTCACGGAGCAGAAATTTCGCTAGAATCGGCATGAAATGCGAATTTTTGAGAATTTCTAAAAATTTCGATATTTCAACCGTCGATTCCGGAAAAACGGTTGATGTTATCAAAAGAACGAGGCTGAAAGTGAGTTCTAGCACTCGAGATCTACAAGAAAATGTGTTTAGTTAAGTTTCGAAAATGTCAAAATTTGGCCGAAATTTGAAGAAGGGGGGAGTATTTGAATAATTTCACTTTTAAAAAAGTTGTCTAAAAATTCTGAAAAAATTCAGGGATGTAGATTTCGACTTGCTGATTGCATAAATATAGAACGTTTAAGGTCACGGAGCAGAATTTTCGCTAGAATCGGTATGAAATGCGAGTTTTTGGGCATTTCTAAAAATTTCGATATTCAGCGGTCGATTCCAGAAAAACGGTTGATGTTATCAAAGGAACGAGGCCGAAAGTGAGTTCTAGGGCTCGAGATCTACAAGAAAATGTGTTTAGTTAAGTTTCGAAAATGTCAAAATTTGGCCGAAATTTGAAGAAGGGGGGACCATTGGAAAAATTTCACTTTTAAAAAAGTTGTCTAAAAATTCTAAAAAAATTCAGGGATTGCGATTTGCTGATTCCAAAAATATAGAATGTTGGAGGTCACGGAGCAGAGATTTCGCTAGAATCAGCATGAAATATACTTCAACTGTCGATTCCGGAAAAACGATTGCAGTTATCAAAGGAACGATGCCGAAAATGAGTTTTTTCACTAGCAGCCTGGACGCATGCAAATGTCGACTCATTTAGTGGTAGCAAATTCAACTTTTGCTACCACGGGTTCAAAAAGAAAAATTGAGGTTATGTACGCAATGTTTGATGTGATTATTTCTTAAAAAATGAACAAATGTGTGCTACAAACATTACTTGAGTATACGCATGGTAGTTGGTAGACGGTAGAAGATAAAATGATTAACTCAGCGACAAGTATAAACGGTTTTCTTTGTGTTGAAGATTTAGATCAAGTTTGATTAGAAATCAAAACAAAATCACGTTGCGTCAAAAAATTGAACGTTTATTTTTCAGTTTATTGTCTTATGGTTTCTACTAGTGAAAAAAATAGTATATTAACCACGGTTGCAAAGCCACTTCTAGACCTCGCACTTAGAGCCCTCGACGCTGCGCGTCTCGGGTTCTAATTTGCGCTCGGTCTAGAATGCTTGGCTCTGCAACCTTGGCTAATAATATACTATTTTGAGCTCGAAGTTTACAAGAAAATGTGTTTAGGTAAGTTTCGAAAATGTGAAAATTTGGCCGAAATTTGAAGGGGGGACCATTGGAAAAATTTCACTTTTAAAAAAGTTGTCTAAAAATTCTGAAAAAATTCAGGGATGTAGATTTCGACTTGCTGATTCCAAAAATATAGAATGTTGAAGGTCACGGTGCAGAGATTTCGCTAGAATCAGCATGAAATGCGAATTTTTGAGAATTTCTAAAAATTTCGGTACTTCAACTGTCGATTCCGGAAAAACGATTGCAGTTATCAAATAACGATGCCGAAAATGAGTTTTTGAGCTCGAAATTTACAAGAAAATGTGTTTAGTTAAGTTTCGAAAATGTGAAAATTTGCCCGAAATTTGAAGGGGGGACCATTGGAAAAATTTCACTTTTAAAAAAGTTGTCTAAAAATTCTGAAAAAATTCAGCGATGTAGATTTCGACTTGCTGATTCCAAAAATATAGAATGTTGAAGGTCACGGAGCAGAGATTTCTCTAGAACCAGCATGAAATGCGAATTTTTGGAGATTTTTAAAAATTTCGATATTTCAACGGTCGATTCAGGAAAAACGGTTGCAGTTATCAAAGAAACGAAGCCGAAAGTTAGTTCCAGAGCTCCAAATCTACAAGAAAATATGCTTGGTTAAGTTTCGAAAATGTCAAAATTTGGCCGAAATTTGATGAAGTAGAAATTTCACTTTTAATAAAGTTGTCTAAAAATTCTGAAAAAATTCAGCGATGTAGATTTCGACTTGCTGATTCCAAAAATATAGAATGTTGAAGGTCACGGATCAAAATTTTCGCTAGAATCGTTATGAAATGCGAAAACTATGGCAACTTCATGAGAATGATTATTTAGCTGACCTGACAAGTATCCCCTTGTTGTGGGTAAGTGCCTCCTGTACAAATCTGCATATCGTATATAATTCCTTCCCTTAGCTTCCTTGTGTCAAGATAATTCCTATTACAGAAGTCATAGTCTACAATATTCAATGTTACTTTGAGTAAATCTTGACTGCTCTCTCCTGCATAACGTGTAAGACCCCATCCAGTAGCAACAATCTTTTTCACAGGAATCTCAAGCTGTGTATGAAGACATGCCGGACGTACATACGAATTGGTTTCTATAGGCTTATCCAGTTTTACTAGTGCTATGTCGTGATAGTGGGAGGTATTTTTGTATTCTGGATGCACTATATTCTTTGCAATTTTTATTTCCTGTTTATGGTTAGTGTCATTAAGGTTAGTGATCCCTAACCACACTACTTTTGGTTCACCGCTAAAAGAGAGAGTTTCTTAAAAATGAATTAGTTCAAATTCGATTTAAGTGTAATATATAAAAGTAAGGAAAATGGATATACACTTAATAGACCCAAAGTAAATGAACCCAGAAATATAATGGTCGTCGAATCTTAAAAAAAATAGTTGTAGTGATTTTCGACAAACTTACACTACTTCTGAAGTCAAGCAATGTGCTACTGTCAAAATGTATTGTTCGCTGATAAGCGATCCTCCACATAACCACTGAAAATTGTCACGATTTCCCGTCGGAAATCCTAATAGCGCCATATGGGGGAACTCTGTTCTTCCAGCCGGTTTTCCTTCAACAATGCGCTTTACAATATTGTGTCCACATAATTGTTTCTCTTTTGTGTGCGATGTATATTCTTTACATTCTTAAACGCAATTTGATTTTTTTTTGGTTTGCTATGTATACGAATTTGTTTTTACGTACTGGTTTCGCTTATGGAACCTGAGGGCTGAGGATTTGGGCAACAGACTATGGCTTGTGTTTCTTGGAAGCCACAAGTTTGAGGCAGTTTTTGAAAAATTACTATTTCATCCCGAATCTCTTTACACTGTGTTAACAGTTTGCAGAGTCCTGGAGAATTAGATCGTTCATGGGTGCAAGGGCTTCCTGGAAAAACAAATGAAGAAATTTATTTGAATAAATTTATTAACATAAATAATAAAGGTAATTTAACGACTTCAAAATTAATGCAAATAAATATTACACAGGAATTTTTGAAAACTAAATAGGTATAATCTGAGTTCGCGTGTGAATTATTGGTACACAAAACTTTGTGTGTAACCAGGCCTGCAGACACAGGAAAAAGAAACTTACCGATGTTTTGAGTGTAAATATTTTTAACCAAGGTCACAATTACAATAATCAAAAATTTATACATTTCTTTACTGTTTAAACTTACTCTGGACCATAGAGCATATACTCTCTACGATTTTACTACTACCTTTATCAACACACAAAATGGGTATTTACGTCAAGTGGTTTCAGGGACGACAACGTTTCTTCTTCACCTTGTAGACCGACGCAAATGAGCAAGCCACTTTACACAGGTGTTTTTCTTTGTATAAGTACGTTGGTATTTATTTATTATTTTTTATGTAATAGTTAAAATATGTATGTTTCAGTAGGATCGATCTAAAAATATTAATTTCATGTGAAATTGCATAACAACATTTAACCCTGAAAGTGATGACGCATTCTTACAATTTTGCCGATTTTTTTTTATTTTATATGAATCAAAATCAAAATTTTATAACAATATTTTACAATTTAACTTTGAACATGCAAAACCCGAATACTGTAAAATCTTGCAAATATCTTAAGATTGCTGGGAGCATGGCAGATCGTTAATCAAGATTTGTTCGTCATCTTACAATTTTGCTTAATAAATTTTATTCAAATTTATGAGTGTTTTTGGGAAAAATTGAGTATGATTAATTAATTAATTAATCAGTCCTTTCTTTTGCGTTCAAGAGACAAAATCAAATTTGATTTCCCTTTAACCGCTAATGCTTGTAATCTGAAAACGCTAATAGTCAAATTTTTCGAAGTATAAACACAAACAGTCGCAGTCAAGCAGATACTGAGAAATTGAGAATATATAGAAATTTTCCCGTTGGTTATCTGCTTTAAATATACTCCTATTTCATTTGTCCACACTTGTGCGCACCGTGGGGTGTTACTTAGGGCAATAGTTTTTACTTTGCAGAGGTTGTTACAAAACGAAAATCCACAAATCAAACTTCATATTACTTTAAACAACCGGGATTTGTCGGACCATACCTGAAGGGTTAAGCAATTTCTGTCGCAATAAGTTTAGATTTTTCTTTTAAGAATGTGACACCTTCTAGGTAGGTCCAACTGACTTTTTTGTTAAAAGTGAAACCTTTTCAAGGGCCCCAGTCATTTTTTTTTAAAGAAGGTGAAACTTTGTCGAGGACGCCAAGTTTCTTTTTTTATTAAGAATATGAAACCTTCTAAGGGCCACTGTCATTTTTTTAAAGACAGAGACACTTCCTCTTGGGCTCCGTCTTTACGTCCTTTTCGTCCTTTTCGTCCTTTTTCGTCCTTTTAGTCCTTTTTTGTCCTTCTTGGTCCTTTTTCGTTCTTTTCGTCTTTTTCGTCCTTTTTGGTCCTTTTCGTCCTTTTCGTCCTCTTCCGTCCTTATCGTCCTATTTCGTCCTTTCTCGTCCTTTTTCGTCATTTGTAGTTGTTTTTCGTCCCTTTTCGTTCTATTCGACCTTTCTCGTCCTTGTTCGTCCGTTTCGTCCTTTTTCGCCCTTTTCGTCCTTTTTCGTCTTTTTCGTCTTTTTGGTCCTTTTTCGTCCTTTTCGTCCTTTTTCGTCCTGTTTCGCCTTTTTTGATCCTTTTTCGTCCTTCTAGTCCTTTTTCGTTCTTCTAGAACTTTTTGGTCCTTTTCTTCATTTTTGGTCCTTTTCGTGTTTCTTGCCCCTTTTCGTTCTTTTTGGTCCTTTTCGTTCTTTCTGGTCCTTTTTCGTCCTTTTCGTTCTTCTTCTTCCTTTTCGTCCTTTTTTTTGATTGTTTCGTTCTTCTCGACCTTTTTCGTCCTCTTCGTCCTTTTTCGTCCTTTTCGTCCTTTTTGGTCCTTTTTCGTCCTGTTCGTCCTTTTTCGTCCTTCTTCGTCTTTTTTGGCCTTTTTCGTCCTTTTTGGCCCTTTTCGTCCATTTTGCCCTTTTTAGTCCTTTTTCGTCCTCTTCGTCCTTTTTCGTCCTTTTCGTCCTTTTGGGTCCCTTTTCGTCCTTTTCGTTCTTATTTGTCCTTTTTGGTCCTTTTTCGTCCCCTATCGGTCTTTTTCGTCCTTTTCGTGCTTTTTGGTCATTTTTTGTTCTTATCGACCTTTTTCGTCCTTTTCGTCATTTTTGGTCCTTTTTCGTCCTTTCCGTCCTTTTTCGTCCTTTTACGTCCTTCTTAGTCCTTTTTGGCCCTTTCAGTCCTTTCTGGTTCTTTTTCGTCCATTTCGTCCTTTTTCGTACTGTTTCGTCCTTTTTGGTCCTTTTCTTCCTTTTTGTTTCTTTTCGTGCTTTTTGCTTCTTTTCGTTCTTTTTGGTCCTTTTCGTTCTTTCTGGTCCTTTTTCGTCCTTTTCTTTCTTCTTCTTCCTATTCGTCCTTTTTCGTACTGTTTCATCCTTTTTCGTCCTTTTCGTCCTTTTTAGTCCTTTTTCGTCTTCCTCGTCCTTTTCCGTCCTTTTCGTTCTCATTCGTCCTTTTTGGTCCTTTTTCGTCCTTTATCGTCCTTTATCGGTCTTTTTCGTCCTTTTCGTACTTTTTGGTCCTTTTTCGTCCTTATCGACCTTTTTCGTCATTTTGGTCCTTTTTCGTCCTTTCCGTCCTTTTTCGTCCTTTTACGTCCTTCTTCGTCCTTTTTGGCCCTTTTAGACCTTTCTGGTCCTTTTTCGTCCATTTAGTCCTTTTTCGTCCTTTTCTTTCTTCTTCTTCCTTTTCGTCCTTTTTCGTACTGTTTCATCCTTTTTCGTCCTTTTCGTCCTTTTTAGTCCTTTTTCGTCTTCCTCGTCCTTTTCCGTCCTTTTCGTTCTCATTCGTCCTTTTTGGTCCTTTTTCGTCCTTTATCGTCCTTTATCGGTCTTTTTCGTCCTTTTCGTACTTTTTGGTCCTTTTTCGTCCTTATCGACCTTTTTCGTCATTTTTGGTCCTTTTTCGTCCTTTCCGTCCTTTTTCGTCCTTTTACGTCCTTCTTCGCCCTTTTTGGCCCTTTTAGACCTTTCTGGTCCTTTTTCGTCCATTTAGTCCTTTTTCGTCCTTTTTCGTCCTCTTTCGTCCTTTTTGGTCTTTTTTTGTCCTTTTTGTCCTTTTTCGTCCTTTTTCGTCCTCTTTCGTCCTTTTCGTCCTTTTTCGTGCTTCGTCTTTTTTGGCCCTTTTCGTCCATTTTGCCCTTTTTAGTCCTTTTTCGTCCTTTTCGTCTTTTTTGGTCCCCTTTGGTCCTTTTTCGTCCTTTTTGTTTTTTTTCGTCCTTGTCGTTCTTTTTTCTTCCTTTTTGGTATTTTTCCTCCTCTTCGTCCTTTTCCGTCCTTTTTCGTGCTTTTCGTCCTTATTCGTCCTTTTCGTCCTCTTTCGTCCTTTTTTGTCCTTTTTCGTCTTTCTTCGTCCTTTTTGGCCCTTTTCGTCCTCGTACGTCCGTTTCGTCCTTTTTCGTCCTTTTCGTCTTTTTGGTCCTTTTTCGTCCTTTTCGTCCTTTTTCGTCCTGTTTCGTCGTTTTTGGTCCTTTCTCGTCCTTCTAGTCCTCTTTCGTCCTTTTAGTCCTCTTTCGTCCTTCTAGTACTGTTTGGTCCTGTTCGTTCTTTTTCGTACTTTATCGACCTTTTCGTCCTTTTTCGTTCTGTTTCGTCCTATTTGGTCTTCGTCCTTTTTCGTATTTTTTCGTCCTTTTCGTCTTTTTTCGTCCTGTTTCGTCCGATTTGGTCTTCGTCCTTTATCGTCCTTTTTGGTCCTTTTTCATCCTTTTCGTTCTTTTCTGCGCCCTTTTTCGTCCTTTATCGTCCTTTCCGTTTTTTCATCCTTCTCCGTCCTTTTTGGCTCTTTTTGTCCTTTTTGGTCCTTTTCGTCCATTTCATCCTTTTTCGTCCTTTTTCGTCCTTTTCGTCCTTTTTGGTCCTATTTGGTCCTTTTTCGTCTTTCTTGGCCCTTTTTCGTCCTTTTCGTTCGTATTTGTCCTTTTTGGTTCTTTTTCGTCCTTTTCGTCCTTTTTTGTCGTTCTTCGTTTTTTTTCGGTCTTTTTCGTCCTTTTTGGTCCTTTTGGTCCTTTTTCGTCGTTTTCGACCTTATTCGTCCTTTTCGTTATTTTTGGTCGTTTTACGTCCTTCTTCGTCCTTTTTGGCCCTTTTCGTCCTTTCTAGTCTTTTTCGTCCATTTCGTCCTTTTTCGTCCTTATTCGTCCTTTTCGTTCTTTTTGGTCCTATTTGGTCCTTTTTCGTCCTCTTTGGTCCTTTTTCCTCCTTTTCGTCCTTTTTCTTCCTTTTCCGTCATTTTTCGTCCTTGCTGTTCTTTTTCGTCCTTTTTCGTCTTTTTTGGTCCTTTTTCGTCCTTTTCGTCCCTTTTCGTCCTGTTTCATCCTTTGTGGTCCTTTGTCGTCCTTTTCGTCGTTTTTTGTACTGTTTCGTCCTTTTCGTCCTTTCTGGTCCTTTTTCGTTCTTTTCGTCCTTTTTCGTACTGTTTCGTCTTTTTTGTCCTTTTTCGTTCTGTTTCGTCCTACTTGGTTCTTTTTCGTCCCTTTCGTCCTTCTTCGTCCTTTTCCTCCTTTTTCGTCCTTTGCATCCTTATTGGTCCTTTTTCGTCATTTTCGTTCTTTTTCGTCCTTTTCGTCCTTTTTCGTACTGTTTCGTCCTTTTCGTCCTTTTTCGTCTGTTTCGTCCATTTTCGTTCTTTTTCGTCCTAATTCGTCCTTTTTCGTCCTTTCTCGTCCTTTTTGGTCCTTTTCGTCTTTATCGTCCTCTTTGGTCTTTTTCGTCCTTTCTGGTCCTTGTTCGTCCTTTTCGTCCTTTTCAGTCTTTTTTCGTCCGTTTCGTCCTTTTTCATCCTGTTTGGTCCTTTTTCGTCCTCTTACAGTTAGAGCGAGGAATGTAGTACAATTAAAATAACCGAGTTTATTGATTATTGTCTGGCCAAACTATATCTTCAATCCACTTAATATAGTGCGACACTCGAGTGTTTACAGCGGGACCACCACCACATCCTTTTCCAAACGAAGCTACTCCCACTATATCATACACACACCGTGTAGGGTTGTTCTTGCTATAGATTTGTAGTGGACCACCACCTTCTCCCTAAAAATTTAAAATAGCTAAATGGAACGTGGAAAAACACTTTTCCTGAAGAGTTGCACACAAGATTTTTCCAATTCTATACGAGACTAGAGAGATTTTAATAAGTTTTATTGATATTTCATGGAAAATACTACGGAAAACAAAAAAAAAAGCTAACATTCTATAACTTTTTCAATGTATGTATCTTGTAATGTTGAAGAATCAGCAATAAACGTTGCAACGAATTGTGTGGTGGACAATGCACCACCACACAGACGAATATGATCTTTTAACTAACCTGACAAGTACTATTTTGTGCGTTACCGCTTCTTGTGCAAAGATGCATGTCATTTATAATGCCATTTTTTAGTCTGCTTGTGGCTGGATAGCTGTTATTACAGAGCTCATAGTCTGCAATATCTAGCGTTACTTTGAGCAAATCTTCACTGCTGTTTTCTGTATTTTCTGTACGATTCCATTCAGTAGCAACAACTTTGGCGACAGGAATGTGAAAGTTTGGGTTAAGACACGCCGGACGCACAAACGAATTGAATTTTATTGGTGTCCACAGTTGTATTAGTCCTATGTCGTGGTAGTTAGAGCTAGGACTATATTCTGGATGTACTATATTATTTGCAATTTTGAATTCCTGCCTGTCGTCGATGTCATTAAGATTTGTGACCCCGATAAACACCAAGTTTGGTTCATCACTGAAACAGAACGACCATTAACACGAGTCGATAATTAAACTTTCGAAACTTACAATGTCTTGGTAATCAAACAATGTGCTGCTGTCAAAATATACCCTTCGCTGATAAGCGACCCTCCACATAACCAGCGAAGAGTGCTAGGCTCCCAGGTTCGTAATCCCAACAGGGCCATATGCGGAAACTCGTTTCTGCCGACCGGTCTTCCTTCAGCCATGCGCTTGGCAATGTTGTGTCCACATAATTGTTTCTCTTTTGTGTACGAAGCATATTCTCTACATTCTTGAACGCAATTTGGTTTAGTTTTTATTTTGAAACTAGTATGAATTTACCTTTTTACGTACTTCTTTGGCTGATGTAGCCTGGTCGACGAGGTTTTGGGCAACAGACTACGGCTTGTGTTTCTTGGAAGCCACAAGTTTGGGGCAGTTTTTGACCAAATACCACTTCGTCTCGAATCTCTCTACATTGTGTTAATGGTTGGCACAGTCCTGACGAGTTAGATGAGTTAAGGGTGCAAGGGTTTCCTGTAAAGGCAAATCAAGAAATTGCGATAAATTAAGGGAAAGAAAAGCTGTAGACGTAAGAAAGGCAAACTTACCGATAATACCTTGTGTGTGAATATTTTTAATCAAGATCACAATAAGACTAACCAGAAATGTATGCATTCTGTTTAAACGTACGCTCGAACATACAGCGCATTATCTCTACTAGAACTACTTTCATCAGCGTAAGTGAGTACTGACGTCTGGTGATTTCAGGGACGACGACGTTTCTTCTTCACTTTGTAGGTCAACGCAGGTGAAAACTACTGATTGTGAGAAACACAGTCATTCTTAGTATGCAAATTTATTTAGTTTTGTTAGTATAATTAACAAATTAAAAATCATCCTGTTTAAAACCAGTCTGTATACATTACTGAAAAATCGTTCTGGGTCTTAAAACCGGTATACTTTTGTTAACTTGATAATGTTGATGAGGAAAAAAAAATAGGAATTGTTATTTTTTTTAACTTAAGAACAATAAACTATAAACAAAAACACGAGAAATGTCTGTAATTCATTTATTACTAGGCTTCGGATTTTAGGTCGTTAAAAATGAATAAAAGGAGACATTTTTAGGTCCCAAAATTGACGAATTAGGTTATAAAAATCTTAGTTTAGGTTAAAAACCTGCAGCAAAAAATATTTTTATATTAAAAAAAAATTGGTCTAAAGAGTTTAGACAGTACTTCCCTCGCTGTCGGAAACTTGACGACTGCATGGCTATTGTGTTTTTTTTTCTCATTACATTTTTGTAGTGTGGAATTAAAAAAAAAAATTGCGATGACGTCGTCAACATTTTTGCAAGGACACGTATATCAGTTGGGATAGATGTAGTGTAATAATAGTAATAAAATTATTGCATTCCCAAATTTTCGGGAAAATGAATTGGGTCGTTTTGAATATTGATTTGTTATAATCAATAAAATAACGAAACAATTTACTCACGTATACGGCGCCGGCGTGTAATATGAGAGAGAACTGAAAATCGTGTATGTATAAGCATTCTTAATTTAAGATGACAAGCGTAACAGCATACGTGAGAGTCAAACAGAGACTTCCGCTTATTATATAAAACATTGGGTTTTATTTTAATTTTTGACGGTGGAATTCACAATTGGTTGATTATAAACATGTCTATTCCACATTCGCGGAACCTAGACAGCGCACACGTCTGTAATGTTAAAGTCGATGTAAATAAGCGTGCTACCCTTATGTTTCAACCGAGTTTTTACTTTAAAAATTTTGTGTCTACCAAATTGGGTTGGTCCAATGTAATACTAATAATAAGTGTTGTCTTTAATATAATCAATAAATAAATTGACTTCATTAATTTTTTTGAGCCACCTCTTAAGAAAATCTAAAAAATATGAATGGAATGATAAATCACAAGTACAAACTCATCATATTTTTTGCATTTTAGATAGGATTTATTCAGCAAAATTTAAGGGTGACGTCATCAATTTTTTTAGGAGGGATGAACAAATACATTTTGAACAAAAGTTTACCATGCTTATAATAACTTTAAAATATCTCCAAGATTTGAAAGCATTCGGTTTTGTAATTCCTGATTAAATCGATAAAATAAATTCACGCATTCATTAATTTTTTTGAGTCACCTGTATATGCAAATCCAAAAATATGAATGGAATGATAAATCACAAGTACAGACTCATCATATTTTGTACATTTTAGATAGGATTTATTCAGCAAAATTTTGGGGTGACGTCATCAATTTTTTAGGGGGGATGAGCAAATACATTTTGATAAAAAATTTACCATGCTTATGATAATTTTAAAACATCTTCAAGATTTCAAAGCATTCGGTTTTGTAGTTCCTGATTAAATCGATAAAATAAATTCACGCATTCATTAATTTTTTTGAGTCACCTGTATATGCAAATCCAAAAAATATGAATGGAGTGATATATCACAAGTACAGACGCATCATATTTTGTACATTTTAGATAGGATTTATTCGGCAAACTTTTGAGCTGACATCATCAAGTTTTTGGAGGAGATAACCAAATATATTTTGACTAAAGATTTATGATGCTCTTTAGAGCCTTAAAACATCTGCAACTTTTCAAAACATTCGGGTTAGCAGATTCAAAATTAAATTGCAAAATGTTGTTTTATAATTTTGATTTTTTTTCCAAAAATCTGGACGTTTCGGGTAAAAACTGAATTCGGAGTCGTAAACTACATGTGTAGGACTATGTTATTTTATACAATTTAAGACCCATTTACTATGTACAATTTTGAAGTGACGTCATCGCATTAGTGGTGGGGATGATTAGACAAATTTTGGTTAGCGTTTTACCATCTACAAGATATTCCTAATATAAGTACAAAATTTCACAACAATCGGTCCAGTACTTTCGGAGATTATCTGTCTAATAAAAATCCGGGACGGCAGACAGACGGACAGACGGACAGACGGACAGATAGACGGACAGACAGACGGAAATGGGAGACCTATTTCTTCGTATTCTAGGGGTCATGAAAGATCGAGAAAACGTAAAAGTAGAGAGTCGACCGACGGACTCGATTGCAATACTTCCTTTGCTTACGCTCGGGAAGTAAAAATATATTTAATTATTCCAGTTTCTCCTCATAGCTAAGACAGGACAATGTCTGTCGGGCCAGCTAGTAGTTAATAAATGAAGATAATTATTAATCAATAAGAAATCATGTATTCCAATTAAGTATGTTTGAAATCTAATTGTGCCTCAACCAATTATTACAATATAAATGTGACATATCTTATTTAATGTGCCGAATTTAAAACATCGTTCAAGTTTAAAAATTTTTGCTTCAAAAACAATGATCGTAATCAAATACTTCTGCACAACAAAAATTATTTTAGATCATACTCTACTAGTTTGCCGCTAATCGACTTGAACATCGTCAATTAATAATAATTAAACCTGGAATGTTGAAAATTTCAATATATTTTATTATTATTTTTTGGAAGAAGACACTAGTAGAGTAAATATTATTACACTGTTAGAATCAGTAGTGTTTCTCCTATAACCTAGATCCAGTAGGGCTCAGATGTTCTAACTATTTCCAAAATCGCAAGAAAGTGGAGATGCCGTGTGCTCAAACGCGAGACTTATTATGAACAACAGTGCATGTCTGAATGTTTGCTTGCTACCACTTCTTTTGAGCTGATATAAAAAAACTAACGTTTTAATTTTTGTATAATGGTGTCTTGAAGTGACATAAAAAATTTTTCTAGTAAATTCTAACAAATAATATATTTCCAATAAATACGAAATTCAGAGTTAAAAAATATCCCTGTATATGAAAAAAAAAGTCACATAACAAGACCTGACACCTGCGTGTTTAAAACAATTGTTGCTCAATTTAGGTAATGTCAGTAACACAGTAAACAATTTTTTAATTAAATTTGATTGGTACTCAATAATATTAGAAGATTGCTATCTTTATCACTTCAACGTAGTGAAATAATTTTTAAGATAGGATATCTAGGTCAAACTTGCTTGTATTTATAATGGAAAAGCCTGTACAATATTAAGAGAAAATTTGTTTTGATCATGCTTTTATTATTCAGGATTGGTAATTGTCAGGTTTCCTCAAACCGTATTATTTTTAAAATGTCATTAACTCATCATATTATAGGTCAAATATGAAAAGTGTTCCATGAAAATCCACCCACTTTAATTAATATATTTCTCATTTAATTTGTATAGCATTACATGTGAAATTTAAACAATCACATACCGGCTGTAGAAAGTTTTCCCTTTATTTGAATACCATAGAGTGTTACAAATAAATAAAAAAGGATTTAGATACAGTTCTCTACAATTTTTTTATAGAATATATTACTCTAATGTCTACGGGAACCAATATTTTCAAATTTTTGTTTTCACATGTAAAATCTGTAGGTTCAAAAAAAGATTCTGCACCCGGTATGTATTAGTTATCAGTTCTGATAAATACAGTTTAACAATAAATTAAAAAATATTGCTGATGAATGCCTTTACTTTGAATACTTTTAAATTAAAATTGTTAACATTGCATTGTGTATTATAAATCGCAAAGAAATGGACATACTCGTATTTCAGATTTTTTATTTATCTTTAAACTTTCTGAAATATTTGCAACAATTTTGAACAACATATTTATCAGTCATAATGATCTTGCTAAGTGGTCACTTTTAGTTTTATCACACGGGCAACAAAAATTTATTAATTACTATTGTTTTCCCAAAATGTCGATATTATCAAACATTTAATTAATTTATTTGATGAAATGCTATGAAGTCACTGTTTTTGTAAGTTCTATTTTAGAAAAATAATCTGTAAAAACAACTTGACAAGAATGATTTTATAAAAAATTATAGTGTTATTGTAAACTGAATTCATATAACATATTTATTTACATGCTGTTCCAGATAAAATTCCGCGACGTAATAAGTAATAAGTAAATTTAGTTTGAATTATAGTGTATTCACATTTTTTAAAATGTTTAAAAAAAATTACTATTAATTATATTAGAAATAGAAAAAAAATTGCACATTAAAGTTGTACAGTTTTTTTGAGTACCATATAGTCGCCTCACCACTTTAAGAAACTTTACTTCTCGAGCGTAAGCTAAGGAACTATTGTAATCGAGTCCATCGGGTTACTGGCTACTTTCACATTTTTCGATGTATGATGATCCCTACAGTATATAAAAATGAGGTTCCCGTTTCCGTCTCACTGCCTGTATGTCTGTTTGCTTGACCATCCGCCCTCTGTGTTAATTTTTGTTAGGCAGATTATTTCCTAAATTACTGGACCGATTGTTGTTAAATTTTATATGTTTATTAGGCATATCATTTAGATGGTAAAACGCTAACCAAACTTTGGCTAGTGATGACGTCACCTCAAGATCATACATATAAATGGATTTTTTTTAAATTGTATAAAATAACATTGTCCTACACCTGTTGTTTACGAATTCGTGTTGAGTTTTTAGCCGAGGTGTCTAGACTTTTGGAAAAAATTTAAAATTTCGTAACATTTTGCAATTTTGAATCTATAAAATCGAATGTTTTGAAATTTTGTATGACAAATTTTTGATCAAAAAAAATCTGTTTATCTCCTCAAAAAGATCTATTTAAAATATATGCAAAATATGATGAGTCTATACTTGTGACTTATTATTGCATTCATATTTTTTGAATTGCTTATACGGGGTGACTAAAAAATTTAATGAATGTGTCAATTTATGTTATTGATTCAATCAGGAACGGCTCGCTCCATGTTTTTGAAAGCTCCGGAATACAGTACTGTTATTATTAGTATTACAATGTACCTATCACAAATTGATGATGTCATCACAAAATTTTGTAATAGAAAAACTCACCTGAAACAAACGCGTAGCACGCTTGTTTACACTTACTTTAACATTACATACATATCTTTATTTTATCTCATAGGAGTTATCTTAAAAAAAATAAAATTTGCAAAATCAAATTTATAATTTTTCGAAGAAGTTGAAAGAAGTTGTATTGTACTCTAGAAGCGTGGGAAGTTCTAATGAGATCTCGAGGAGCCTCCGCTTACAGAATTACCCTGTATTCCCCTAGAACACCGAAAATACAATAATTACAACAATTGCCGACGGTGTTCGCCAACCACTTTGACATAATCTGGACAATACTAACCATTAAAAATTCGTAATTTGGCAATTAAATAACCCCATGATCCCAAGTTATTTTTGTACAGATATAAATAAATAATTATCCTATTAAAAACGTTCAAATTTCTTTATGATCATTGTAAAGTTGTTAGTAAGATTACCGATTTAATCCAAAAGGAAGTATATAAAAATTATAGAGGTACACAGAAGACAGAACACTTATTGCATAAATCTGTAGACGACGCCACAGTAACCTTATAAAAGAATATGGTTAGCATCTTTAATCCTTAAGACAGATGCATCGTTTTTTGGAGCTTAGATATATGTAGTTTATCGATTTATTCATTGTTATTTTTAGTACTGATGAAGTATGATGAAAAGGTAAAAACAAACATCAAAAGTAAACGTGATTTGACGTATCTTGATATAAGTATAATCAAGATTCAGCTTACTATAAAAACACATACAAAAACCGAATAAACTGAGTCACAAAATGAAATCGCTACTGGTACTGGTGTTTTATTTGGTGGGAACTGTGTTGGGTAAGCCACATCTTTTGTGCACACATTAATGTAGCATAGTAAACAAAATAAAAATATTTTGTTAGGATCTCCAACAATTCCATTGGAAGAAACAAAAGGTACTCCGGGTGATGGAAGAATCATAGGAGGCTATGAAGTTACAGATAGTACATTGTTCCCCCATCAAATTGCTCTTATGAACTACAACAATGACCAATTGTTCTGTGGGGGATCTCTATTATCTGAAATTTTCGTATTGACAGCTGCTCATTGTGTATATGGGTAAGTTACAGTTTTGTAAAAGATTTAAATATATATATAAATATATATGTATTTAAAAATGTACAAACCATCACGCTACTTGTAATTTTGTTTTGACAATCGTAATTCTCGTTTGCTTTTTTAGACATTTATATTATTATACTTTTCCAAATAGAATTATCATAATTTAATCTAAGATTTCATTGCTTGTTTCTTTGCAGACGTACGAAGGAGTCAATCTACCTTCGCGCAGGTAATGTGGACCTTTATAATATTCCAGACGTTCAAGCTGAGCGCGTTTTAAACATTTTTGTGAATCCGTATTACAATCCTCCAAGCAATTTTGGAGATCTTGCTATTTTAAAAACCACTAGCTTTACCCTTGACGAGTATGTGTGGCCTGTAAGACTTCCTGTTCTTGGCACTACATGGAGTGATGGAACCATGCTAACTGCAACTGGATGGGGTAGATACAGTAACGATAATAATGACGTGTCTCCATTACTAAAAGCGGTTGATCTCTCACTCGTAAGTGCAATTGAATGTGAACAAGCATTTCCACTTCAGTTTACGTATCATATGTTGTGTATGTACGGATTTAATAACAATGTTTGTAACGGAGATTCCGGTGGTCCAGTAATTGCAACCGGCAGCACAAATTTTCTTGTTGGAGTCGTATCGTTTGGTGCTCCACTGTGTGCGACAACGATCCCTGACGTTATCATTAACGTAGCACATCCTAACATGCGTATGTTTATAAATGAAACAACTGGTTTATAATAATTATATGTAACTTTAGACGATGATACGTTTAAAGTGCGTTGAGAATGGACATTAAATAATTTTGCAACATAAGTTTTTTTTACTGTATTTATAACATGCCCCTTACGTATTTATTGAATCATATATACTTTTTTATTATTTTGGTTTAAATGTATGCGTAGGTTATGTAGAATAAAAATAGTACAAGTAAATGATCACGCCAAAAGAACTCAACTATTAAAGTGTGAATTCTGGATTAGCGTAGTATCAAGTGAAGAACGTACTTAGTTCACCTCCACATCAGATCCACCAGATTCAATTGATGGTTGCACTCGCTTACATTAGTATTGTAAAGAATTACGTACTTACCTACAAAGCAGTTTCACTTTAGCACCCACTTTTCAACAGTATTTCGGGTATATTCTCAATTTATACTAAGTGCAATTTTCTTTTTCTTGTGTTTGGTAATAGCCACAGTCTCTTCAAATTAGTATTTCTTGTAGATGTTGTCTGATCCTACCTGTTATTCTGATACTCTGACTGCAACATACGCTATTGTAAAGCATTGCAAGAATTGCGAGCCCACACCATATAAAAATTGGTCGAAAGTTATTTCGACAAAATTTCCCTCGCTTCTGAAGTGTAGTACAATAAATTCCACTTCGTTGAAAAAGCATCAAATTTGATTTTGGGAAATTTTATTTTAACTTCCCGCGCGTAAACGAAGGAAGTATTGTAATCGAGTCTATCGTGCAACTTGCTATAATGTTTTCTCGACATTTTGATCCCTAGAGTACGAAAAAAGTTTATTAAAATTACGATTCCCAAATTTTCGGCCAAATGGACTGAGAGTCGTTCTTGTTTTAATCAATACAATAAATTGCTTTATTTATTAATTTGTTTGAGTTACCCTGTGTACGTAATTTTAAAAACTATGAGTGCATTGATAAACCACAAGTCTAGAGTTACATAATATTCTGCTTTCTGCATATTTCAGAGAGGATTTATTCAGCAAAATTTTGAGATGAAGTCATCAGTTAGTTATAGTTTTACCATCTACATGATATTCCTAATATACATACAAAATTTGATAACAAACAGTCCAGTAGTTTCGGAAATTATCTATCTAATAAAAATCTACACAGATAGACATACGTACAGACAGACATACGTACAAACAGACAAACGAACGGACAGACGATAGAAAGACGGAAACGAGAGATCACTTATTTCATAATCTAGGGATCATAAAACGTCAAGAAAACATGAAAGGGGCAACTCGCCCGGTAGACCCGATTAGTATACTTCCTTAGCTACGCTTGGGAAATAAAAAAGAGACGGCTATGTTCACAGTGTTCCTTGGCCTGCGTTGCTTCTAATGGTTATTGCTTATATTACACCTATGCAATTTGGTATATAATATATATCCTTGCAAAGTGTTGATGACGTCATCACCAAATTTTATTGTGGGAAAAATTCACTTGAAACATATTTCTTCATTGGTACTTTAACAATCCACACATAAGTTATAGCAATTTTCAATAAAAACAATTAAATTCGCAATTTTTCGATGAATCTGTACTTGTACTTCAGGGCCGAGGGATATGAATTTTTTTAAAATTGTTTTTACTTGGGGAATTTTTCACAATATACACCATCGGCGTCCTTCAATGTCTAGTTACGAATAAATTAGAAATATTTTGTCAAATTATCCTCCCCATCTTTACTTGCCAGTATCAGGTATGAAATGTATGCTCAGTTGACATCTACCAAGCTAAGCTTTTATAAGTTAAGATAAAGCCCCATTATAAAGCAAAATGTCTAATGTAAACTAAAATAAACAAATTTTCAGGTACATTTATTTAAAAAAAACACCAGTAAAACCCAAATAGTTATTCAGATGGTCTTAAACTTAAACAAATGGAAATCATAAATAAATTTTATTGCCTTCCAATAAACCATTTCCGGCGACCTGCCATTAAATTATTAAATTAACCTGCGTCAATCAAGTTAAAAGGGGATAATTCAGAATGATACTAAACCATTTTATTATCATATCAAAAGGAGCGTAAATACAAATTGCATACTTATAATCGATCCACACTGATAATAATATATTTGATTTGTTTTTAATGGTACGATCGGAATTTGAAGCAGTTGTCTGCTAACTACGCTACCAATAGTCTTTAAATTTCGGTCTATTCGTGCTTGTAGAATAAACGTTGAATAAACAGTTTGTTCAACGGCTAATTCAAGCAGTTGATACGATCTTGTTTGGTTATATTTAACACTTTCTAGTCTAGAATGAAACTCAGTCGTAGAAAACAACAGTATAAATATTTTTGAAGCTTTAAAATTGTTATGTTTGTTTTATGAACTGCGTATCTAAAAAATTTCCTTTCTTGAATGTTGTTTAGAGTTTTTTTTTAACTCCCTTCTTGTAATTATTTATATATATGAAAAGTGAGTATATAGTAGATATGTAACAAAAAGTAACCAAGAAAAAACACCAACATTTCCGAAATCTGATAACTCAACATTTTATCATCGGGAGAGGGAGTGGGGGTCGTTTTGCGGATATTTCCCATGAACATGTTATAAAAAAAGTTATTAGTACCATTCGAAAAAACACAAAATCTACGAAAAATAGTACCTAGAGGTACTATTCGTTCTGCGTTCTGTAAGGAAAGAAATTATGAAATTGCTGTCTACGTCCATAACTATGTTAGCGATCATGCTCAGAAATTGAGAGCTCATTATGAAAAAACTTAACAGCGAAGAGTATCAAGAGTATGTCATCAAAATCATGTAGAACTCTACGGAAAGACGAAAGAAACAAAAATATAACAACAAATCGTCTATTCCTAACCCCAAAGCCGTTCTGGAAAAACGCTAACTCTAAACAGTGGTACAAAGACGTGCCACCTGGTATAGATATGATTTAAAAACAGACCCAAAATTCGGCAACGCTCATGGGAGGATAAATTAATAGCAAGCATCTTCTTTCAATTAAGTATGTTTGAAATTAAATCGCGCGTCAAAAAATGCACAAATAAAGCATATCTAAGTTAAGAGAAGATATCGACAGAATTTAAGAAAATTTACCACGGAGAGAAAGATCGTTGCCAAAAAGTATTTCTTTAATATAAACACGTAGAAATTTAAATACACCTTTTATGAAGGTAGCATAAGCAGATATTTTTAAGTGATCGAAAAACACTTACTCAAACAATAGAATATGTTCTTACATTAGACTATACATAAATAATGTAATTCGATTTATTAGAACTTTTTTACGTCACTTGTCATCCATCCAATTTTTGTTTTAAATATGATTTAAAAATGTTTTTAAATGATAACCGAAGAAAAAGAGTAGAAAGTGTTTAGTAAACACTTTAAATCTTCATGGACTTGCATTTGAGTTATAATATAATAATATAATAATAATATAATAATATAATATCTTTATTGTCCAACAGGGTGGCCCTAATGACAGGACAATCTAATATATGACAAAAAATTAAAATAAATATTCAAGCATAAATTAACTAATAAAAGAAAATTCAAATTAACAAAATATATCCTCTATATATTTGTCAGCACAACGACACATAGTGAAAACAGGTGCACGACGTAAGATATTGGTTCTAGCGGTAGGGAGTCGAAAAGTATTTACATATCTTGATGTAACCCTCGGAACATTAAACTGGACGGCAGATAACAGCAAAGGACAGTCAATTTTGTTGCGTATAAGTTTAGCCAAAAAACTAGCAGCATGTTGATCTCTACGCACACAGAGAGAAGATATGTTATGCCGTTGTAAAAGACCATTTGTATCTGTTCCTCTATGTGGATACGTCCCATCTAGTTTGAATGACAAAAATTTCAAAAATTTTCTTTGTATTTTATCCAGAAGCATATGTTGACACAAATATATTGGATACCAAATTAAGGATGCATATTCCAGCTTGCTACGTACATAAACAAAGAAGAGAGTCTTAATTAAATCAATATTACTAAATAGTTTCGAAATCCGCATTACAAATCCCAAAGATTTATTCGCTGCGCTACAAACATTGGTGATATGTTGATCAAAAGTCAATTGGCTGTCAAATGTAACACCAAGATCCTTGAAAGTTGTTTTACGTTCCAAAGGTGTTCCTCCAATCTGATATATAAAATCAAAAAAGTGCTGTGTGCGGAAATAAGATATAAAGCAACATTTGCTGATATTAATTGTAAGTTTGTTAAAATTACACCATTCGACAATTTTGATGAGTTGAGCTTGTAGATGAAGAGCATCAGATAACTTTGAAATTTTAGAATAAATTTTTAAATCGTCCGCATAAGCTAGAAAACAACATTCTAAGGATTCGAGAAGATCATTAATATATAAATTAAAAAGGAGGGGGCCAAGATTTGACCCTTGAGGGACACCAGAGGTCGAACAAAAAGGCAAAGAAATAAATCCATTATAAAATACATAATTCCTGCGATTAGTCAAGTATGATTCCATCAATTTAAGAAGGGAAGAAGAAAATCCAAGATTATTAAGTTTGTGAAGAAGGATGTCATGAGAAATAAGATCAAAAGCGTGAGAAAAATCTGTATAAATAACATCAACTTGTTCACGTTTATCGAGGGCCTCACTAAGATCTTGAGTTAAGACAGACAGATTGGAGACTACAGATCTTCCAGTCCTAAAACCGTGTTGCCCAGAACTAATAACTGAAGACAACTTACTGTAGATAAAGTTATACAACACAAGTTCGAAAATCTTAGCGAAGTTATTCAAGAAGGAAATAGGTCGATAATTACTTAGTAACGATGAATCCCGTTTTTTAAAGATTGGACTTATTCTAGCGATTTTCCAACGATCCGGAAACGTACTGGTTTTAAGAGCTAAATTTATAATGATGGAAAGAGGTTGCGCTAGTATATACCTGCAGTCACGGATAAGAAAACTGGGAATCAAATCATCACCGCTCGTTCGTTTGTTTGTAAGTTTTGCCATAGTTGAAATCAAATCCTCCGGAGTGACATGGGTTATAGATAAACAATTGTTGTAGACGTAAGACGAAGATTCAGTGGGGAGTTATGTTGTATTATCTTCTAATTAAAATAAATATGTCTTGAAACTTATCAAATAACTACACAAAAAGAAAACAAATGGAAATATACGAAATCTTAATATACTACAACTAAAAACAGGGGAGCGTTAAAAAAATAATCGATGAGAAAACGAAAAATATTGTATTTGTCAGTCATTTCCAAATAGAATGAAGATTGAGATGGAAGATCTTAATAAAAGTAATGAATTTTATTGAGTACTCTGAGGCCAAACTGTATCTTCAATCCACTTAATGTAGTGAGACACTCGTGTATTTACAGCGGGATCACCATTACATTCTTTTCCAAACGAAATTACGCCCACTATGTCGTACATACACGATGTGGCATCGTTATTGTGATAGATTTGTAGTGGGCCACCAGCATCACCCTAGAAATTCAGATGTATTTGCATTAAATGTACATGCACAAATGCAACTACACAACTACATGAGAATTACGCTTTAACTAACCTGACACGTGTCCTTTTGTTCTTTGCCCCTTCCTGTGCAAATATGCATCTCATTTATAATTCCTCGCCTTAGCTTCCTAGTGACTTGATAAGTCTTATTACAGAGCTCATATTCTGTAATATCTAGTGTTACTTTGAGCAAATCTTCGCTGCGGCCGCCTTCAGAATGTGTATCACCCCATCCGGTAGCAATAACTTTTCCAACAGGAATGTCAAAGTGTGTATTAAGACATGCCGGACGCACATACGAACTCATTTCTATTGGTCTTTTAAGTTTTACTAGCCCTATATCGTGATAGTGGGAGCTAGAGTTGTATTCTGGATGTGGTATGGTCTTTGAAATTGTTTTTTCATGCCTGTGGTAAGTGTCATTGAGATTAGTGACCCCTAACAACACCACTTTTGGTTCGCCACTAAAACAGAAAGATTCCAAAAATTAACCAGTTTAAATTATTCCCATTACTCAGCTACTCCTACTATTTATCATTGTGCCAGTGTGGTGTGTTGAATATATTCTACCTTGGAATTGTGCTAAATTTATTTGATAGATTCAGGTTAGTCACAGAGGTGGAAAGTGAGGAGAAAGTACTCGTAAACCCACCAAAAGTTAGTGACAAATTCAAAATTTACTCTAAATTGATTCTTTTATATAATAATTAAATAACATGGCGAAAGAGTGACAAAAGTGGCAGTTCGAAGTGTTTGGTTTGAAAAATTATTTGTAATAATAAATTATTCCTTCAAGACTCACTCTGTTATGAGAAACAAACAATGTGCTGTTGTCAAAATATATTGTTCGCTGATAACTGATCCCCCACATAACCACCGGTATTTGTCAGAAGATTCGATCGGATATCCCAACGCCGCCATATGGGGGAAATCTGTTCTGCCAGTCGGTACTCCCCCAACGACACGCTTTATGATATAGTGTCCACATAATTGTTCTTTTTTTGTGTGCGCAGTATATTCTCGACATTCTTAAATACAATTTGATTTTGGTTGGATTTTATATGTACACGAAATTCGTTTTTACATACTGGTTTGGCTTATGTAACCTGGTTGATGGGTTTTTGGGCAGCATACTATGGCTTGGGTCCCTTCGAAACCACAAGTTTGAGGTAGTTTGTGGGAAAACACTACTTGGTCTCGAATCTCCTTACATTGTGTTAACAGTTTGCACACTCCTGGAGAGTTTGATGGTTCAAGGGAGCAGGAGTTTCCTGTAAAAACCAATGCAGAAATTGAAATGAATTAAAATGGAAGAAGAGGGATGACATAGTTTAACGGTACCAAAATTACTGTAAAAAATATAGAAGCAATTAGTTAAAATAAGTTTTGTGTTAAAATAAAAAAAACAAAAAGTGAAAATACATTAGTTAAAAACATTGTGTGCAACCATGTTAAACAGAGCTACAGACACAAGGAAAACAAACTTACCAATAATACTTTGTGTGTAAACATTTTTAACAAAGATCACAATAACAACAATTACGAAAGTATACATTTCTTTACTGTTTAAACGTACACTTGAGCATACACCTCATGCTGTCTGCTATTTTAGTCGTACTTTTATCAGCATGTAAAATGGGTATTTACGTCGAGAGATTTCAGGGAGGACAACGCTTCTCCTTCACCTTGTAGATGAACAGGGTCATCGCAAGTGATAGTGACTGGTTGTGAGAACTATTGGTGAAATACCCAAGACAAGCAAGCCACTTTACATACGTGTTTTTCTGAGCATAAGTATTTATTTATTAATTAATTATTACTGTTTAAGTGAGAGTTAAAAAGTTCTAAATATTACTCATTCTCGAAGGACTGGGTCCTAGGATAAAAGAACAGGTTTGTCTTTAAGTTAACGTTTCGCTCCTGTATTACACAACCGGTTAGTTTTGTTTTGTTTATTTATTGGTAATCGTGTTGTTTTTAGTGGAATTGGAACTAAATTTGGTGGTGATCAAATTTTAAATAAAATTTCACGGTGAAAAAAAGGCAACCATGTGCAAGTTTAGTTCTTTTCTGGTAGTTGGTAGCTCTCCTAGGGAATTTCTGGGTAGTGTCTATCGAGAGGGTTGGTAGAGGGCTGAGATACGTCACTGTGTTTTTGTTTGTGGCGAATGAAAGCCAGCGGTAAGGTAGCTAGGTTAAGTTTACTTGGTTTGGTAGTTAGTTTTTGTTTAACGAAAATTAATCGTAACTATGATGACGCGACAGTTTGCCCAACTAGCGGAGTTAATTCTTATGGTTTTTTCCAATGGAAAATATACGAATTTTCAACCGATGAATTTCTTTTATTGTTTGTAAATTCACAGTTCATGTTAGGATTTTAATCGTTAACTGGTTCTAACACAATTTAACAGGCATGCGATTGTTCAGATAAAGCACTTACTAGGAGATTTTATAAGATTCACTTAGTCAGGACTCATGCTTTGTTTATCAACTTATAAATAAAGTTCCCGGATGCTTATACTTAAGTGTTACATTATAACCCTCCTTAATTCCTCACACAAGACTGTTAATAATTCATTTGCGACACAACTGTCGATATTTTAACAACCAACCTAACGTTGTCCCACACTATGAAAAGGACCATGGAAAGTGCGGTGGAATGCATAATATCGTAAACTGAGGGACGAGGGGATTAAAAAAGTTAATTGTTTTAAGTAACTAGTCACTTCGATCAAGGCATAACTTCACATAATGTAAATTCATTGTTTGAATCGCTGATAAAGTGTGGCATAATTTCACATCATGTAAATTCTTTATTTGAATCGTTGATAAAGTGTGGCATAATTTAACATCATGTAAACTCTTTGTTTGAATCGTTGACAAAGTGTGACAAATATTAACCTCATGTAATTTTGTTAGCTTTGCAATTTCTCAACTCATGCAATTTTTCTCTAACTAGCAATTTTAGCCTCAGGAATTTTCTTGTTATTGGACGTGCTTATAACTTCGAATGCTTATCTTTATAATGAGTTGTCTCCTCAAAATAGAGGACAAAAATTATTAATTAAGCCACAATGGAACAAAATGTTTTAGATGATAACCACAGTTCACCATCTCCACAAAAAGAGTAAATAATTTAAATGTTCATGGACGTGCATTTGTGTTATGCTGTGGTATCTTCTAATTAAAATAAATGTCGCCTGAAACTTATAAAATAACTACACAAAGAAAAAAGAAACAAAAATTTACGAAATTTTAACATACTGATTATTATGACGTGGGCAAGGTAAAAAAACTAATCAATGAGAAAACGAGAAAGGTTTTATATCTCAAACGTTTCCAAATAGAGCGAACATTGTTGTGCAAGGTCTTAATTAAAATAACCAACTTTATTGACTATTCTCAGGCCAAACTATATCTTCAATCCACTTAATGTAGTGAGATACTCGTGTGCTTACGGATGGACCACCAAAACATCCTTTTCCCAACGAAGTCAAGCCAATTATGTCGTACATACACGAGCTTTCGTCGTTATTGTGATATATTTGTAGCGGACCACCAGCGTCACCCTAAAAATTCAGAAATATTTGCATTAAACTAAAGACAACAAGAGCTCCAAAGAATGCGCATGTTTTAGATTTTAAAAGCACTAAAAAATTCCTTCACTATGCATTAGTTAAACTTACCGGGTGTTCATTTAAAAAATTCATCAAGTTAATTTTGCCATTTTGGTAGTAGGAAGCGTTACGAAAAACGAAAAAAACGCAGGTGCATGATTAATTCCATTATTGTCTGTTTTCCGCTGTTTTTACGACTAACCAACGGGCAAAAGTTCTATTCTTGGTGCGATGGTTTACAGTTTAGAACACAAAGCCTTTCTGGTGCAGAGTTTTATCGGAATAGGGTTAAACTTGATGATGCCCAAATAATGTTATCGACTACATGCAATTTGAGCACAGATATAATTAAAAAAAAAAGAACAATGAATGGCAAGTTGATGAATAGAGAGCGGATTTTTAGGTTTAATGCTTTTTGTGAAAAATGTAAGCACTTCAAAACTTTTTTATATCTGTAACTATGATACAATTTGGAGTCATTTGACACATTTTTTTTTATGCTTATTTGCTTTTTTTCAATTTTATGCATATTAAAATGTATATGTTTATTTAATGCTTTTTTCGACGAATATGAGTTTTAATGCACATTTTGTTCAAATACCGGCCTTGTCGGGATGATAAATACTTGTTAATTAGCCCTATCGTATCGTATGCATTTTACCTGGACTTGACCATTGAAGTACACTTACTCAAGACCCTTTCTGTGAATAGGTTCCGGTCGTTTGGGTAATAAAAGTTTATTATAGGATTGGAAAAAAACTCCATAGATTTTATTACTTTAAATCCTTACTTCCGTTGATAATGAATGAAAGCTTTTAACCAGATGTTCTTTTTCGGCATTTTGCGGCAAGACCGTTAAAGATTTTCTAGAAAAAAGGATTATTGTACCCAACTACCTACCTTAAAATTTTTCTAATGGAAACTTTTAAGTAAATGAACTGTTTATTTCACAACCATCAGTCTATCGCAATTGTCGTAGGACAGTGTTATACGTGATTCTCCCTTGTTACATGTTGAGTTCTTTTTGGTAATATTACTAATATTTTAAAAGAATACGGAAAGTAAAATCGACGCCGGATGAGTGGATAAGGGATTTTCCAGAATTAAAATTAGAAAACAACAAAATATTCTGCAGAGCTTGTGTGAAAACCGTAAGCCCACTAATTTTTTTTTTATCTATTTTCCTTTGTTAATCCTGTATATGTACTTTGTTTTAGATTCAAAGTGATAAAAAATATAACGTGACGCAACATGTCAGAACGACTCTTCATGTGGAAAGGAAGAAAATGTTTGAAGTTTCTAAAATTAAACAGCAGACCATACATGAATCTGTTGCATCTACTTCCACAAAAGATGAGCAGTTTCAGTTTAATTTCGATTTATGTAAAATGATGATCCAGTCCAATATAACTTTAAAAAAATTGGAGAAAGGCCCTCTTCAAGAATTCCTTGAAAAACACTGCAATCGACATATTCCGGTTGAAAGTACTCTCCGAAAAAATTATGTAGGCCCAGTGTTTCAGCAAGTTTACAACGAAATTAAACATCGTATTGGAGATAATTATTTATGGTTCGCTGTCGATGACACAACCGATAGTTGTGGAAGATACGTGGCAAGTTTAATTGTTGGAATCTTAAATGAAAATTTCCCTAGTCGAGGGTATGTAGTAAGTTTGAAAATGTTAGATAAACAAATGGCAATACGGTTACAAGATTTGTAAGTGACAGTCTTACGTCACTATTTTTGCCAATAAAATTTTATTGATGATCTCGGATGCAGCTCGTTATATGTTGAAAGCAGCGAATAATCAAAAGATATTGTATCCCAATTTAATTCACTCTACTTGCATTGCCCACGGTTTAAACAGAGTGGCTGAAGGAATACGTTTGCAGTTTCCTACTGTTAATAAATTAGTGGCAAATGGCAAAAAGATTTTTGTTAAAGCCCCGCTAAAAGTGCAACATTTTAAGGAAAAATTTCCAAACATACCATTGCCCCCAGAGCCGATTATAACGAGGTGGGGAACATGGTTACAGGCCACATTTTATTATGACAAATATCAAAGAATTTGAGGAAGTAGTTACGGAGTTTAGCGTAGATTCTTCTCAGTCGATTAAAGAGTGCATAAATATTTTGGAAAACAAAGATTTGCGACAAGATATAGCTTTTCTAAGAAGCAATTATCAATTCGTATGTGAGGTAATAGAAAAGTTACAAAAACCCAACATGTTGTTGGTAGATGCCATAAACTTAGTGAAAGAATTTAAACAACAAGCAAACGCAGTAAGGGGTGATATTGGTACTAGAGTATCTCAAAAACTTGACGAAGTGTTAAATAAAAATGCAGGTTTCGGTGTTCTTTCCGACGTTGCTCGTGTTTTACGAGGCCAGAAGGTGGAAAATTTGGAGTTAGATTCAACGTTAGTTGCAAAATTCAAATTTGCGCCAACAACGAGTGTGGATGTTGAACGCACATTCTCCAATTTTAAACACATTTTAAATGATCGGCGAAAAAATTTTACAGTGGACAACTTGGAACATATTACAATCATAAATTGTTTTAAAGAAAAGTGAAATACGTGTGTAAAATATAAAGTCTAGGATTATTGTAATAATATTTTATCCAAAGTTCTAAGAAGTGTTCTTTGATTTGTAATATGATTATGTTTTTAATGTTTTTTTGCTTAAAATAAAACTTTTTTAATGAAAGTGTTATGCTTATTTAATGCTTTTTTGCTTAAAATAAAACTTTTTAATTGAAAATGTGCTTATTTAAGCGCTTATTCTTAATTTTTTGTGCTTATAAATCAGCTCTCTATTGATGAATTTTTAAATGAATACCCGTTATATGCACAAAAGTAACTATACAACTACATGAGAATGATGCTTTAACTAACCTGACAAGTATCCTTATATTCTTTGCCTCTCCCTGTGCAAATATGCATATCATTTATAAATCCTCTTTCTAGCTCACTAACGCCCTGATAACTCTTATTACAGAGCTCATATTCTACAATATCTAGTGTTACCTTGAGCAGAATTGCACTATAGGTTCCTAGATGTGTTTTACCCCATCCAGTGGCAACACCTTTTCCAACACGAATGTCAAATTGTGTATTAAGACATGCTGGTCGCACATACGAACTAATTTCAATTGGTTTTTCAAGTTTTATTAGTCCTATGTCGTTATAGCCGAACAACTTCTTGTATTCTGGATGTACCACATTTTTTGCAATTTTTATTTGATGTCTGTGATTAGTGTCACTAAGATTACTGACCCCCAACAACACTACCTTTGGTATACCTCTAAAACAGAGAGATCCTTAAAAACTAATCAGTCCAAATTATTCCATTACTCAGCTATGATATCACTGTGCCAGTATGTACCTTTTGCCATAATAATTAAATTACATAAACTTCGATGCTTCTTGCTTGAACAATTATTTGTAACTAAAAAAACTTACTGTGGTACGGAAGTCAAACATTGTGCTGCTGTCAAAATGTATTGTTCACTTATAAGTGATCCTCCACATAACCACCGAAAATAATGGGTACCATTGGTCTGATATCCTAACGCCGCCATATGGGGGAACTCTGTTCTGCCAGTCGGGATGCCTCCAACGATGCGCTTTACAATATTGTGTCCACATAATTGTTCCTCTTTTGTCTGCGAAGTGTATTCTCTACATTCTTAAATTTGATTTTTGTTTAATTTTCTATGCAGACCAAGTTTGTTTTTACGTACTCTTTTGACTTATATAACCTGGTTGACGAGATTTTGGGCAGCAAACTATAGCTTGCGTTCCTTCGAAGCCGCAAGTTTGGGGGAGCTTGTACGAAAACACTACTTGGTCTCGAATTTCCTTACATTTTGTTAAGAGCTTACATATTCCTGGGGAGTTTGTTGGTTCAAGGGAGCAGGAGGTTCCTGTAAAAACAAATGAAGAAATTGAAACAAATTAAAAGTGTTGTACACAATCATGTTATTTTATCTAGAAAAATACATTGGTTAAAAATATTGTGCGCAACCGAGCTACAGACACAAGAAAAACAAACTTACCAATGACATCTTGTGTGTAAACATTTTTAACCAAGATCATAATAACAATAATCAAGAATTTATGCATTCCTTTACTGTTTAAAAGTACACTGGGGCATACAGCACAAACTCGGTACTATTTTAGTACTAGGTACTTTTACTAACATGCAAAATGGGTACCAGTTTACATCGAGAGATTTGGAACCTCTTTACCTTGTACATCAACAGGGTCAAGGATGATGATTGGTTGTGAGAACTATTGGTAAAATACCCAAGACAAGCAAGCCATTTTACACACGTGTTTTTCTTAGCATACGTATTTATTTATTAATTATTACTGGTTATGTGAGACTTAAAAACATGTAAATATCACGCATTCTCGAAGGAGTGGGTCCCAGAAGAAAGGAACAAACGTTTGTCTTTCAATCAACATTTCGCCTCTTTATTACCTTTGTTTTGTTTATTTATTGGCAATCGTATTGTTTTTCGTGGAACTGATAATAAATTTTAATATGAATGATAGATATAGGTTTCGCTGGTCACCCCTATTAGTTATTACGTGAGACGCCACTGTTAACATTTGGCAGATAAATGGAAAAATTACTAAGATAGTGGACACTTGTTAGTGTTATAAGACCATTTGCTGTTGCAACATTAAGGTATTATCAGTATTGATGTTTTTTTAATTTTTTTTTTTTAATATATTAAGTTTGAAAATGTGTTAGCACATTATAGATAATAAGTATAAACCGTAATGTTTTTAGACAAAAGTGACTTTTAAGGTTTTTGAATATTTATTAATCAAAAAAATTTTCTAGCCTTAGTAATTTTCTTTGACGTATAATTTAAATTGAACGTAAATTTTCGTTCACAAGTTTTATATCATACCGGATCATTTTTTGTTTTTATGAATCCATTCTAGTTTTTTTTCATGTACCTAAATATTTTGTTGATTAATGTTTCCATCATATGAATTGTCTTAACCTCAGTTAACTAATCTTTGCTGTTTAAAAATTTCGCGAGAGTCTATGGTGAATGCAAATGTTGTTTATTGCTCTTTTTTTGAAACTTTAACCCTTGTTCGGTTGTAGTTTAATATCAGACTCATAGAGATAAACATTTAAAGGGAATTGAGGTAAATAACACGGAAACACGTGGCGGAAGCGGAGGGCGCGGTTCCTTGTCGAGCTAGCGGTCGCGCCAACTGTACAGAGAATGACGTGACGATGTCGGCTTTAAAAATGCTTTTAAATGATAACCGAAGTTGGTCACCTCCACAAAAAGAGTAGATATTTCAAATGTTCTGTTGTGTTATGTTCTAATTAAAACAAATATGTCCTCAAACTTATAAAATAACCACACAAAAGTAAAAGAAATAAAAATTTACGAAATCTTAACATACTACAACTATAACAAGGGAGGGTAAAAAAAGTAATCGATTAGAAAATAGAAAAAGTTTTATATGTCAGTCATTTCCAACTAGAGTGGAGATTGTAGTACAAGATCTTAATTAAAATAACCTATTTTATTGACTATTCTGAGGCCAAACTATATCTTCAATCCACTTAATGTAGTGAGAAACTCGTGTATTTACAGCAGGAGCACTACCACATCCTTTTCCGAACGAAATTACGCCCAGTATGTCGTACATACAGGATGTGGCGTCGTTATTGTGGTATATTTGTATTGGACCACCAGCATCACCCTAAAAATTCAGAAGCATTACGTACATGTACAATCGTAAATATACAACTACGTGAGAATTATGCTTTAACTAACCTGACAAGTGTCCTTTTGTTCTTTGCCTGTCCCTGTGCAAATATGCAGATCATTTATAATTCCTCGACTTAGCCTTCTATTGGCTTGATACGTCTTATTACAGAGCTCATATTCTGTAATATCTAGTGTTACTTTGAGCAAATCTTCACTACTAGCTCCTCCACTATGTGTACGACCCCATCCAGTGGCAATAACTTTTCCAACAGGAATGTCAAAGTGTGTATTAAGACATGCCGGACGCACATACGAACTAATTTCTATTGGTTTTTTAAGTTTTACTAGTGCTATGTCGTGATAGTTGGAGGGAGGTTTGTGTTCAGGATGTCGTATGTACTCTGCAATTGCTTTTTCATGACTGGGTAAAGTGTCATTAAGATTAGTGACCCCTAACAGCACTACTTTTACTTCACCACTAAAACAGAAAGTTTCCTAAAAATTAATCAGTTCAAATTATTTCATTACTCATTATATCATTATGCCAGTATGGTGTTTTGAATATATATATATTTTATCTTGGAACTTAAATTATTCCTTCAAGACTTACTCTGTTCTGGAAAACAAACAATGTGCTGCTGTCAAAATATATTGTTCGCTGATAAGTGATCCCCCACATAACCACCGGTACTCATCAGAAAATCCTATCTGAAATCCCAACGCCGCCATATGGGGGAAATCTGTTCTGCCAGTCGGTACTCCTCCAACGACGCGCTTTACGATGTGGTGTCCACATAATTGTTTTTCTTTTGTGTACGAAGTATATTCTCGACATTCTTAAATGCAATTTGATTTAGGTTGGATTTTCTATGTACAGGAAGTTCGTTTTTACATACTGATTTGGCTTATGTAACCTGGTTGACGGGTCTTTGGGCAGCAAACTATGGCTTGAGTTCGTTCGAAACCGCAAGTTTGAGGAAGTTTGTGAGAAAACACTACTTGGTCTCGAATCTCCTGACATTGTGTTAACAGTTTGCACACTCCTGGAGAGTTTGATGGTTCGAGGGAGCAGGAGTTTCCTGGAAAAACCAGAGAAGAAATTAAATTGAGTTAAAAATTAGTTTAACGGCACGAAAATTATTGTACAAAATATACAAGCAATTAATTAATCTAAGTTTGCATGTGCAACTATGTTAAACAGAGCTACAGACACAAGAAAAACAAACTTACCAATAATACTTTGTGTGTAAACATTTTTAACGAAGATCACAATAACAACAATCAGGAATTTATACATTTCTTTACTGTTTAAACGTACCTTGGAGCATACAGGTCATGCTCTCGGCTATTTTAATACGACTTTGATCACCATGCAAAATGGGTATTTACGTTGAAATATTTCAGGTGGGACAACGTTTCTCCTTCACCTTGCAAATCAACAGGGTCATCACAAGTGATAGATATCGGTTGTGAGAACTATTGTGAAATACCCAAGACAAGCAAGCCACTTTACACACGTGTTTTTCTTAACATACGTATTTATTTATTAATCATTACTGAATGAGAGTTAAAAAGATATAAATATTACTCATTCTGATGAAAGATGAAATTGGAAGACAGATTGAAAGACTGAAAAGAGGAAAGGCACCAGGAGGGGATGGAATCCAGAACGAAGCGTGGATGTTCGGGACAGAAGGAGTGAAAGAAGGATATGGGAAATGGTGGATGGAGTTTGGAAGGAAAAAGGGTTTCCTCGGCATTATTTAAAAAGGGGTAAAAAGTGATGTGAAGAACTACCGGGGGATCATCTTGCTCAATACGGGCGTACAAGATATACGCAATGATACTAGATGTGGAGAGAGCGGATTTATAAGCACAAAAAAATTAAGAATAAGCCCTTAAATAAGCACAACATTTTCAATAATTACAATAATCCTAGACTTTATATTTTACACACGTATTTCAGTTTTCTTTAAAACAATTTATGATTGTAAGATGTTCCAAGTTGTCCACTGTAAAATTTTTTCGCCGATCATTTAAAATGTATTTAAAATTGGAGAATGTGCGTTCAACATCCACACTCGTTGGCGCAAATTTGAATTTTGCAACTAATGTTGGATCTAACTCCAAATTTTCCACCTTCTGGCCTCGTAAAACACGAGCAACGTCGGAAACAACACCGAAACTTGCATTTTTATTTAACACTTCGTCAAGTTTTTGAGATACTCTAGTAGCAAATATCACCCCTTACTGCGTTTGCTTGTTGTTTAAATTCTTTCACTAAGTTTATGGCATCTACCAACAACATGTTGGGTTTTTCTAACTTTTCTATTACCTCACATACGAATTGATAATTGCTTCTTAGAAAAGCTAGATCTTGTCGCAAATCTTTGTTTTCCAAAATATTTATGCAATCTTTAATCGATTGAGAAGAATCTTCGCTAAACTCCGTAACTACTTCCTCAAATTGTTTGATATATTTGTCATAATAAAATGTGGCTTGTAACCATGTTCCCCACCTCGTTATAATCGGCTCTGGGGGCAATGGTATGTTTGGAAATTTTTCCTTAAAATGTTGCACTCTTAGTGGGGCTTTAACAAAAATCTTTTTACCATTTGCCACTAATTTATTAACAGTAGGAAACTGCAAACGTATTCCTTCAGCCACTCTGTTTAAACCGTGAGCAATGCAAGTAGAGTGAATTAAATTGGGGTACAATATTTTTAGATTATTCCCTGCTTTCAACATATAACGAGCCGCATCCGAGATCATCAATAAAATTTTATTCGCCGGTACGGCATTTGGCAAAAATAGTGACGTAAGACTGTCATTTACAAATCTGGTAATCGTATTGCCATTTGTTTTATCTAACATTTTCAAACTTACTACATACCCTCGATTAGGGAAATTTTCATTTAAGATTCCAACAATTAAACTTGCCACGTATCTTCCACAACTATCGGTTGTTTCATCGACAGCGAGCCATAAATAATTATCTCCAATGCGATGTTTAATTTTGTTGTAAACTTGCTGAAACACTGGGCCTACACAATTTTTTCGGAGAGTACTTTCAACCGGAATATGTCGATTGCAGTGTTTTTCAAGGAATTCTTGAATAGGGCCTTTCTCCAATTTTTTTAAAGGTATATTGGGCTGGATCATCATTTTACATAAATCGAAATTAAACTGAAACTGCTCATCTTTTGTGGAAGTAGATGCAACAGATTCATGTATGGTCTGCTGTTTAATTTTAGAAGCTTCAAACATTTTCTTCCTTTCTATATGAAGCGTCGTTCTGACATGTTGTGTCACGTTATATTTTGTATCACTTTGAATCTAATACAACATACATATACAGGATTAACAAAGGAAAATAGTTAAAAAAAAAATTAGTGTGCTTACGGTTTTCACACAAACTCTACAGAGTATTTTGTTGTTTTCTAATTTTAATTCTGGAAAATCCCTTATCCACTCATCCGGCGTCGATTTTATTTTCGGCATTCTTTTAAAATATTAGTAATATTACCAAAAAGAACTCAACATGTAACAAGGGAGAACCACGTATAACACTGTACTACGACAGATGCGATAGACTGGTGGTTGTGAAATAAACGGTTCATTTACTTAAAAGTTTCCATTAGAAAAATTTTAAGGTAGGTAGTTGGGTACAATAATCTTTTTATCTAGAAAATTTTCAACGGTCTTGCCGCAAAATGCCGAAAAAAACATCTGGTTAAAAGCTTTAATTCATTATCAACGGAAGTAAGGATTTAAAGTCATAAAATCTATGGAGTATTTTTCCAATCCTATAATAAAATTTTATTACCCAAACGACCGGAACCTATTCACAGAAAGGGTCTTGAGTAAGTGTACTTCAATGGTCAAGTCCAGGTAAAATGCATACGATACGATACGGCTAACTAACAAGTATTTGTCATCCCAACAAGGCCGGAATTTGAACAAAATATGCATTAAAACTCATATTCGTCGAAAAAAGCATTAAATAAGCATATACGTTTTAATATGCATAAAATTGAAAAAAAAAACCAAATAAGCATAAAAAAAAATTGTCAAATGACTCCAAATTGTATCATAGTTACCGATATAAAATAGTTTTGAAGTGCTTACATTTTTCACAAAAAGCATTAAACCCAGAAATCGGCTCTTTATAGATGAGAATTTACGAAAGAAGATGAAAGCAAGGGGTATGTTACCAGACGGTCAAGTAAGGTTTAGGAACGGAAGAGGTACTATACTATGAACAATGTGTACATCCTGCGGCATTTAGTGGGAAGAAAAATAAGGAAAGAGGGTGGACGAACGTACGCATTGTTCATAGATTTCAAGGCAGCGTTTGATAGCGTGAATAGAGAGAAAATGTAGGAGTATTTAAGGAAAAAGGGAGTAGATGCGTACCTGGTAAGGAAAATGGAAGAAATATATGAAGTAATGTGAGAGTGGGTGGACTAGAGAGCGAGAGTTTTTATACAAATAGAGGAGTGAAACAGGGATGCTCACTCAGACCCGCATTGTTTGCAGCTTATCTAGGAGATGTAGATGAAATGTTCAGAAAAGCACACACAGGAGGGGTGGTAGTAGGCATAGAGAAAGTGTGGTCGTTGCCGTACGCAGATGATTTAGTGATTGTGGCAAAGAAAAGAGAAAAAATGAAAACAATGATTAAAAGTTTCGAGAAGTACGTACAAGAAAGGAATTGGAAGTGAATGTGGAAAAACAAAATTGGTGATGTTTGGGAAGAAAGTAAGAAAGGGGAAGGAAGAGAGGGCATGGAGAGGGAAGAAGATTGAACAGGTGAAAGAATTCCAGTACTTAGGGTGTACATTAAAGATCAATAACTCAGATAGAGCGCATATTCAATAATTGGTCCGAAAAGCAAACAAAGTGATAGGAATTGTATGGGAAATAGGAGAGAGAAGATTTGGACATGACTATAAGAGAAGAATGACGATGTTTGATAGTATGATCAGAAGTATATTTATGTACGGAGCTGAGATTAGGAGATGGAGGGAATATGAAGAAATAGAGAGAGTGCAATAAAAATACTTAAAAGTTGAGATTGGAAAAATATACGCTGGGGTATATAGTGAGACAAGAAACAAAAAGGGAGAAAATAGATTGGAAGCGAGTAAAAGGGCGGTTGGATTTGAAGAGAAGTTTAGTGAGAGAAGGTGTAGGATATATTGGAAAGAGAGACAAACAATAGAACATATGCTGGGAGGATGTGAAGGATTGAGAGAATCGGATAAAAGTAGGGAAGAAATGCTTAACGAGGATGGAAGGGGACTGGACTGGATGAAAGAAGTACGGAAGATAAGGGAACTAAAGCAACGAGTGGGCAAGCAGAAAGAATAGAACAATTAATTATCAGTGTTGGGGACAGATACTTTTAAAAATATCTAGATACATATATAGATATATGGAAGATAAAAGTATCTAGATACAGATTGTTTTCGATTTCTTCGAAATGTATCTAGATAACAGATACAAGAAAACAGACACTTTTTGAAGCTTTGGCGAATAAAATAACTGAAGACATGTTTATGTATTTTTTTTATGTATTGTTTAATGAATTTATTAAAATTAACAACATTTCGAACGTATTGTCACCTAAATTATTTCTTCTTGGCGTCAGAATTTGGTTTCCGCTACTAAACACCCGTTCCACAGGTGCACAATACGACATTGTGGTATTAAATTTAAAAAATAAACATTTTACTGTAGCATAGTTATTCAAGACTGAAAAATATTTTCTTTTTTCCTGCAAATAGGCCATCGCTTTGCAAATTGTGCAATATTTATCACGTGGCTTAAAAAGAAAATGTTTTTTGTTTTTATTCCCATACTACAGTGTCCAAATTGTGTTTGAGTATATCTAATAATTATCTCCAGCATTAAAATCAGTATTTCAAAACAATACGGAAAATGATTATTCTGTGCTGAAGGTCTGTTGTCGGCAACCTGTCATAAATTATTATTCTTCAATATCGGCTTACGATGTTTTTATGACCATGTTTATCCCGGTACGGCAGGTATATATATATACATTTTAGGAAGAATTACTGGTTCCGTTTAAGGCAAAATAAGTACAATTTCTTAGAAAGGTTTTTAAACCCTTTATAGGATCAAAGGCTGCCTGGCAGGCCGGAATCACCAGAGTGCAACTTTAAATTTTCAGATTTTTGTTGAAACTCATTTTATTTTAATCTCGTTTCATGATTTCTAAGAATATATCACGATAAATTATTTTACCGAGGGTTGTAAAAATGTTAATTTTATTGCCCAAGATTTACACTTAAACATAATCGGCACGTTCTAGGGTAAAACGGACCTGCCAAGCCCGCTTCGCGTTAGGTCCAATAATGAAAAAGTGAAGAAATGACATGTGGCAACAGGAAAAGATGCTACATTTGTTTGAAAAATAAAGGTATAAAACAGAAATAAATATGCGATTTATGCGAGAGAAATGTATGTATTGAACATTCGATTAGTCGATTACAGAACTAATTTGTGCTAATTGAAAAAATTAATCATGTAATACGCAATTATTATTTTCTAAAAATAATAACATACTTTAAACAAATATTTTTACTATAAAATTACTCTTTTTTAATAACACAAATACAACCAGCGGGCCTACCGGACCCGGGTTGCTCAGGTACACAGATAAAATGCATTGCCCCGATAAGCATAAAACGCAATGAATAGTGATTTGTGGTTTATGGTTTTTAAAATACCATCTTACTATGGCTTAGATTTATTACCCCTCAGGATTATATTTAAAGATGTATAAGTACTGAAGGCTACAATGTAGGAAATGATGGTATTTAAAATATGAAAATTTCCGTGACAGAACACCAATAGTGGACCTCTTACCTCTATTTTTGTTTATGTGACCAAAATCACCAACATGAAGTATCAAAAATTACTACTAGTATAACTCAACTAATAACTACTGAAAAAAAATTAAAATAAAAAATGTATCTGTATCTGCGCCATTAATTTTGTATCTAGATACAGATATTTTGTGCTTAAATTCGATTTTATCTAGATACAGATAGTAGATACCCAAAAATATATCTAGATACTGCCCAACACTGATTATTATTATATAAAACTCGAATATTTATATTACTCATTCTCGGAAGAGTGGTTCCTAGGATTAAGGAACAAGCGTTTGTCTTTAAGTCAACGTTTCGCTCCTTTGTTACTACACATATTTTCGTTTCAAATATGATTTAAAATTGTTTTTAAATGATAATAGAAGTTCGTTATTTGCACAAAGAAAATAAACACTTTAAATCTTCGTGGGCGTGTATTTGAGTTATGTTGCGTTATTTTCTAGTCAAAAGAAAAATTTACTAAATCTGAAGATATTACAGTTATAAGAATCGAAGGTAAAAAAGGAAATCGATGTGAAAACGAGAATAGTTTTATTTGTCAGTCATTTCCAAATAGACTGGAGATTGTAGTAATTAAAATAACCAATTTTATTGACTATTGTCAGGCCAAACTTCGTCTTCAATCCATTTAATGTAGTGAGATACTCGTGTGTTTACGTTTGGACCCCCAAAACATCCTTTTCCAAACGAAGTCACGCCAATTATGTCGTACATACACAATGTTGCGTCGTTATTGTGATGTATTTGTAGTGGACCACCAGCATCACCCTAAAAATTCAGAACCATTTACAAATTCCCATATTCTACATTTTAAAACAATGAAAAAGTCCTTCACTATGCATTAGTTAAACATATGTGTACATGTACAATCGTAAATATACAACTACGTGAGAATTATGCTTTAACTAACCTGACAAGTGTCTTTTTGTTCTTTGCCTGTCCCTGTGCAAATATGTATATCATTTATGATTCCTTGCCTTAGCTTCCTAGTGACTTGATAAGTCTTATTACAGAGTTCATATTCTGCAATGTCTAGTGTTACTTTGAGCAAATCTTCACTGCTGCCTCCTGCATAATCTGTAAGACCCCATCCAGTAGCCACAGCTTTTCCAACAGGAATGTCAAAGTGTGTATTAAGGCATGCCGGACGCACATACGAACTCATTTCTATTGGTTTTTCAAGTTTAACTAGTCCTATGTCGTGATAGTTGGAAACATTTTTGTATTCTGGATGTACTACAATTTTTGCAATTTTTATTTCATGCTTGTGGTTAGTGTCTTTAAGATTAGTGACCCCTAACAACGCTACTTTTGGTTCACCACTAAAAGAGAGAGATTAATCAATTTATATCATTCCATTACTCAGATTCGATCATTGTGCCAATATGGTGTTTTATGGTGAATTTTGCTAATTTTACAAAATAGATTTAGGTTAATTACAGACGCGGAAAGTGTGGAAAATGTACTCGTATATCTACACAAAAGTGTTTTTTGCTTGAACGATTATTTGTAACTAAATTATTCTTTCAAAACTTACACTGCTCCGGAGGTCAAACATTGTGCTGCTGTCAAAATGTATTGTTCACAGATAAGGGATCCTCCACATAACCACTGTAAATTGTCAGAATCTCGGGTCTGAAATCCCAATATCGCCATATGGGGGAACTCTGTTCTGCCAGTCGGTATTCCTCCAACGATACGCTTTACAATATTGTGTCCACATAATTGTTCCTCTTTTGTGTGCGAAGTGTATTCTCTGCATTCTTAAACGCAATTTGATTTAGGTTTCAATTTCTATGTACACCAACATTTGTTTTTACGTACTGTTTTGGCTTATGTAACCTGGTTGACGAGATTTTGGGCAGCAAACTATAGCTTGGGTTTCTTCGAAACCGCACGTTTGAGGTAGTTTGTGGGAAAACACCACTTGGTCTCGAACCTCCTTACATTGTGTTAACAGTTTGCACACTCCTGGAGAGTTTGACGGTTCAAGGGAGCAGGAGTTTCCTGCAAAAACAAATGAAGTTGAAATGAGTTAAAAAGGAGGCGACGTGGGCATAGTTTAACGTTATCAAAATTAATGTAAATAAAATAAATAAACAGAGCGACAGACACAAGAAAAACAAACTTACCAATAATACCTTGTGCGTAAACATTTTTAACCAAGATCACGGTAACAATAATCAGAAATTTAAGCATTTCTTTATGGTTTAAATACTACGTACACTGGAGCATACAGCTCGTACTCTCCACTAGTTTAGTGCTAATTTTATCAACATGAAAAATGGGTATTTACATCGAGACATTTCAGAGAGGACAATGGTTTCTCCTCACCTTGTAGATTACCAGGGTCATCGCTAGTGATAATGATTGGTTGTAAGAATTATTGGTGAAATATCCAAGACAAGCAAGCCACTTTACACACGTGTTGTTCTCAGCATACGTATATATTTATTAGTTATTACTGTTTATGTGAGAGTTAAAAACATGTAAATATTACGCATTCTCGAAGGAATGAGTCAAAAGATCAACGAACAAGCGTTTGTCGTTAAGTCAACGTTTCGCTCCTTTTTTACATAACCGGTTAGTTTCGCTTATTTATTTATTGGTAATCGTGTTGTTCATGAAATTGCTAACGAATTTTAATAAATGTGTCACATGAGACGCCACTGTTAACATCTGACAGCTAAATGTGAAAATTACTAAAGTGGTGGACACTTGTTAGTTTTGTAGCGGCACAATAACACATGGGTAAGCAGAGCAAAGATAAGTTGTCTTGTGGTGCAGTGGTCAGCATACCAGCCCTGAATGCTTGGAGACGTGGGTTCGAATCCCACCGAGGCACAACATTTTTCTTTGCTTTCCCACATTGGTGACCTCCGACAGGCAACGCGCACGCAACATCCTTCTGCCACCGCCCTGTGCCCGCTGTGTTCGGGGCCCGCAGCACCGCCAGGGTTCGAATAACGACCGTAAGAGTGGTAGGGGCGACGCCAGCATCTATCTCCTTCGCACCCCAGCACGACCGCGCGCTGTGTCGCTGGGGGGGGGGAGTACTGTAGCGGCACAATAACACATGGGTAAGCAGAGCAAAGATAAGTTGTCTTGTGGTGCAGTGGTCAGCATACCAGCCCGGAATGCTTGGAGACGTGGGTTCGACTCCCACCGAGGCACAACATTTTTCTCTGCTTTCCCACAGTTTTATAGGACCATTTGATAATGCAAGATTAAGGTATTATCAGTATTTCTGTTTTTTTTTTTTTTAATATATTAAGTATTGATACCTGTTAGCCCATTATAGGTGCCAAGTATACGCGATTCAGGATGTTTTTAGACAAAAGTGATTTTTAAATATATATTTCTTAATTAAAACAATTTTGTAGGAAAGAAAACTGCAGAGAAAATTGCCGTCACTGAAGACGAAAATTTGAAAACTTCATCTTCTGGCAAGCGAAAACCCACCGACAGTTTTTCAAATTATATACTTAGAAAAGATTTGAATAAAAATCCTATTGTTGCAGCAAAAATTATTTTTTGAGAAAATTCTTCCACTTTCAAGATCCTTGCGAGTATCTTACATTCGTGTACCTACTTCAAATTTTTGAGTAAAGAATTCCATATTTCATTTAATAAAAAAAAAAAAAAAATTCCAAGATCATCTAAATATACAGAATTCGTCATTTATTTTTAATTGGGTACACTTCATTACAGTTCATTGTTGACCTGAGGACGGTTTCCTTTTAGATATTATTCAAACAGCTATAAAAACATATAGTTTGCCCTTTGTCTCTTGATCCATGTATTCCAAACTTTGAGCATCAAGTAGACCTGGGATGAACACTCCTGAAGCACAAGAAGCGTGCAGAACCGATATAGACATTATGAAATTATATTTATTTTAGATGTTTATTGTTAGTGACACTGAGTGTCTTTGCGTGTTAGTGAGTGTGCTGGGGCCGGTTTTGATTTTTGTACATACAGTAAAGAATCCTCAAAATGCCTAAGGTAAAATCATCCATGAAAGATAAAATCAAATTATGGTTAGGGAATAATTTGGACACTAATTTTCAATTTCCTTCTTCAACCAAAGACAATGAGTTATTCTGCAAAGTGTGTGGAAAAGTTGTAAGTAAACATTTAAAATACTAAAGCTTGAATTATGTTCACATTTTTGTTTGCTAGTTTAAGTGCGAAAAAAAGTCACACTTTGAACAACACTGCAGTGGCTATGCACATAAAAAGAACGAAAATAAATCCAGCAAACAGACATCATTAAACATTAGGTCCGACAATGATTTTACGTAATTTTGCACAGATTTATGTAGGGCATTTACCGCAATAAATATTCCATGGAATAAAGTTAGTTGTCCTGAGTTTAAAAATTTTATGCACAAATATACAGGAAGGCATTTACCCTCAGAAAGCACTCTGAGAAAAAAATATTTACCAAAAGATTACGATATGGTGAGCACTAGAATTTTTATTAAAAACTTTTTAACATAAATTTTATAATTTACAGGTAATTAAACAAATTAGAAATTCTATTGGCAATAATGATATATGGATAAGCGTCGATGAGACGACGGACAGATTAGGAGGATACATAGCCCATTTAGTAATTGGAAAGTTATTTTCTGAAGAAGTTGGCCGTCCATTTCTACTAGTTTTGAAGCAGCTTGATAAAACTAATAGCAACACAATCTCGAGATTTATAAACGAATCATTGGGTGTGCTATTGATAATAATTTTAAGCATTGAAATTATTATAATTTATTTAATTGTTAATTTGTAGCTTTATTGTGGCCAAAAGGAACTGAACACAAAAAAGTTAAATGGTTTGTATCAGATGGTGCTTCACACATGATCAAAACTGGTACTAATTTGAAGGTGTTTTATTATTATTATTATTATTAATATTATTATTAAACGCAACTTTCCCAACGGGATAACCCACTTTATAGGGAAAGTGAAAAAAAGGAAAAGAATGTGAAAAAGTTATTAAATTAGGCATGTCAAAAAAAAGACAAAATTTTAGTTTGTAGATTATTAAAGATAATACTAGAAATACACTAAGCACCATATTCAGCAGTAATACATGCAGCAATGCTAGCATTTTTAGCAGAAAGATCACAGTCCTTGGATATTTTGTTGTACACTGTGCACATAGCAACAATCGGAGATATTTGAAGTAAATTACTCTTACAAGGGGGACAATAAAATAGTTTGTGTTGGCGAACATTAAATTTCGGTGTAAGAAAATTTATTTTACCAAGCAACCAAGCGCAATCAACCTTATAATTAATCAAATTTAAAATGAATCTCACACCCAAAATTAGTCTTCTCGTATTTAGAGAGGAGAAGTTAAATCTACTTAACAGCTGTAATTGCGGATACCCTCTCACAGGATACACATGATCTTCACGATAGGCCAGATATTTTAAAAACATTCTCTGTATAGATTCAATATTGCTAACATGGACTTGATATGTGGTGTGCCAAATGATTGAGCCATACTCCAACCTAGATCTGACAAGTGCAATAAACAGGGTTTTAAGGGTTTGTGTTTTATTAAACTCTTTGCTGTTTCGGTAAATGAATCCTAAAATTTTATAGGCTTTTGAAATCGTATTTCCAATGTGCGGTACAAACGTTAGAGCAGAATCAAACATTATTCCTAGTTCTAATACAGAGTTTTCTCGTCGTAATGTTTCATTATTTATGCTATATTGAAAACAAATTGGGTACAATTTCCGGGTATACGTTACCAATAAACATTTGATGGTATTCAAAAATAAACGATTAAGCAGACACCATTGATAAACATTATCAAGGTCATTTTGGAGAGCAACGCAATCATCAAGGGATTTGATAACTCTGTAGATCTTGAAATCATCAGCAAACAATAAGTTACCCGTTGAGACAACCTGTGTGATATTATTAACAAACAAAAAAAATAAGAGCGGTCCCAAGTTGGACCCCTGGGTTACTCCGGACGAAGGAACGATATTTTTCGATTTGTAACCGCGGTACTGCACACATTGTACTCTATTTAGCAGATACGATTCCAAGAGTTTTAATAAGCTACCAGAAAAACCAAAGTTACTTAATTTTTGGAGTAATACATAATGATCAATTTGATCAAACGCCTTCCGAAAATCCAGGTATATAGTGTCGACCTGTTGCTTGTTGTCAACGGCTTCACTAGTAAATTGACTGAAGCAGGCTAAGTTTGTGACCGCAGAGCGTTTTTCCATAAATCCATGTTGCGAAGGACTAATGTACATTTTTACATCAGCGTAGATGTATTTATATAATATACTTTCAAATGCTTTTGCAAAATTATCTATCAGAGAGATTGGTCTGTAGTTAGTCACATCTGATTTGTCTCCTTTCTTAAACACAGGACAAATTGTTGCTCTTTTCCAATATGTTGGAAAAATACCGGTTTTAATAATTTGATTATATAAGTACACCAAAGGCTGGACAAATATGCTTGCACAATCCCTCAATAAAAAACTCGGTGCCCCATCGGGACCCATAGTAAAAGAGTTTTTTAAGTTTTTTAATACAAAATAAACATCATTCTCAGAAATGTGCAAAATAGATACACTACTACCAACTTGATGTTCATTGAATTTAACATTAGACTGCGAATCAATATATACTGAACTGAAGTAATCGGCAAACGCATTCACAATGAGACTAGGACTGTCAAGTGCGCACTCATTATAAGTCACTGTAGCAGGGATTCTTGTGGTACTCTTCTTGCTTTGAACAAATTCCCAAAATTTCGCAGGCTCATCTTGAAGACGATTTTCAACATTTCATATGTATTCCCTATAAGCATAATTTGTTTATGAAAATATAACACACTTTTAACATGTATGGGTTACATTTAGTGTCTGAAACAATTATACTTAATTATCCAGATTCCAATGGGATAGTTAACAATGTTAAGAAAATCTTTTTAAAACCACCAACAAGAATAGAGTTTTATAAAAACAGTTTACCAAATAGACCTCTCCCACCTGAACCTGTATTAACCAGGTGGGGCACTTGGATTCAAGCAGCATTGTTTTTGCAGAACACTTTAATGTTTTAAAACAAGTCAGTAAATATATAATGTTTTTTTACTATCATTCTTAGATTGAATATTTTTAGGTTTTAATGTCATTTGAAGCCACAGACGCACAAACATTAAAAAAGCTCAAGAATTCCTGAATATAGCAAACGTTAAAAATGTACTCTTTTGTATTAAAACTCACTTTAAAATTATTGCTGATGCAATCGAACAATTAGAAACTATGGGTTTAAAATTAAACCAAAGTATGGAAATTGTGGAAAAAGTGTATACATCTTTAAAAAACACACCAGGAAAGGTGGGGAAAATGGCGTTCTAAAAATTATGTTCTCTATTAAAAAAGAATCCAGGATACGATTTTATATGTTCAGTAATTAACATAATTTGCGGTAATGGAAATGCTACCAACAATACATACAAAAATGAAAACGTAGATTGTTCAATATTTAATTTTGCACCTATCACTTCTTGTGATGTGGAACGCACGTTTTCAAAACTAAAAAGTGTTTTAAGCGATCAAAGGTGTAAATTTACAATCAAAAATTTAGAGAAATATGCAGTTTGCTTTTGTAACTCATTTTAAATACCTGAATTAATATATATATTTTTTTTAATGCGACTTGCTTTAATTTGATCTCCATTTTTTTGCGATAACTTAGAATTAGTGGACGTAACTATAGATCGTTTGTTTATTTAATCATTTTTTTGTTTGTTAGACAAAATGTTTGTTTGTATAATGTTTTGTTTAATGTTTTTTTTTAAATATATATTTTCTTGATGTATGCTTTTTCGTTGAACAAAAATTTTTCCTCCAGGTTTTTAACCTAAACTAAGATTTTTATACCCTAATTCGTCAATTTTGGGACCTAAAATATCTCCTTTTATTCATTTTTTAAGGACCTAAAATCCGAAGCCTACTTGTGTCGAACTAAGACGAAACGTTTCGAGACAAATGGGGCCGAGCGCAATTTTCAAAATACGAGTTTTAAAGCCTTTTTACAGTGAACGAGCGCGATGCAACGATTTGAAAAAAACACTGGTCGATAGCCCTTCTTTACCTCCACAAATGCACTACTCAGTCATAGCTTTAAAGTAATCTCGGGAGATCTTACAAAATAAAAACCGATTTCCCATGTTAATTCCCTATGTCCAAACTTGGATGCGGTAACCTGTATATATGTTTGGCTATACTTCTGTATTTTAGTCCGTGAAGAAGGTGTAATAAAGTGCGTTTTGAGTCTTAAAATTGCGAAACAAATTTTAATTTGATAAAATTGACTGGTTTGTACATCGACGTGCATTTAGGAAAAAAAAATCTACGAAATCTTAACATACTGATTACTATAAAAAGGGAAGAGTGAAAAAATAATCAATGGGAAAACGAGAAAAGTTTTATTTGTCAATTATTTCCGAATGGAGTGATGATTGCAATACAAGGTCTCATTTAAAATAACCGATTTTATTGACCACTCTCAGGCCAAACTACATCTTCAATCCACTTAATGTAGTGAGATACTCGAGTGTTTATGGAACATCCTCTACCAAACGAAGTCACGCCAACTATGTCGTACATACATAAAGTGGGATCGTTATTGTGATATATTTGCAGCGGACCACCAGCACAAGTCTAAAAATTAAGAAGCATTCGCATTCAACTAAAGATAACAAGGGCTCATTTTCACAAATAATAAATAATTATGATTTCCATCTTCGTTTTCCCAACTAGTTTCGTTTGATGAATATCTTCAGGGGACAATTCTCCACTCCAAAAGACTTCACACACAAGTTATTTTTACTTATGTTCATGCACTACAGTAACTATACAACTACGTGAAAATGACCATTTTACTAACCTGACAAATACCCGTTCGATCTTCATCTCTCCCTGTGCATATATGCATATCATTTATGATTCCTCTACTTAGATTACTAGTGACTTCATAATTCTTTTTACAGAGATCATATTTTGCAATATCTAGTGTTACTTTGAGTAAATGTTCACTGTTATTTTCTGCATAATGTGTAAGACCCCATCCAGTGGCAACAGCTGCTCCAACAGGACTGTCAAAGTGTGTATTAAGACATGCCGGACGCACGTAGGAACTCATTTCTATTGGTTTTTCAAGTTTTACTAGTCCTATGTCGTGATAACGGGATACATTTTTGTATTCTGGATGTACTACATTGGTGACAATTTTTATTTCCTGTCGTTTGTTAGTGTCATTAAGATTAGTGACCCCTAACAACACCACTGTTGGTTCACCACTAAAACAGAGAGATGCTTAAATATGGATTAGCTCAAATTGTAGCCGAGTGTGAGAGATAGAATAGATTGTCGGGCACCAAATCGGAGTACCAAGAAAGTCAAGATTTTTTTAAATGAAACGCTATATATTTTTTTGTCTTATGTCAAAAGATGGAGAGTAAAATAAAAAGCTTGATGTTTTTGCATTTGTTCAAAAACAAGTGCTGCGCTTTTTATGAATTTTGTGCATTACTTTATTATAACCGTGTACATTATCTTGAAATTTTGCTAATTTTACTTAACAGATTCAGCTTAGTCATAGAGGTGGGAAATTAAAAAATTGTACTCGTATATCTAGCCACTTACTCTGTTTCGGAAATCAAACAATCTGCTGCTGTCAAAATATATTGTTCGCTGATAAGAGATCCTTCACATAACCACCGTAAATTGTCAGAACTTCCGGTCTGAAATCCTATCATCGCCATATGGGGGAACTCAGTTCTGCCAATTGGTATTCCTCCAAGGACACGTTTTACAATATTGTGTCCACATAGCTGTTCTTCTTTTGTGTGCGAACTATATTCTCGACATTCTTAAACGCAATTTGATTTCGGTTTGATTTTGAAGTTTGTTTTTACATACTAGTTTCGCTTATGGAACCTGGTTGTCGAGGGTTTGGGCAACAGACTATGGGTTGGGTGCCTTGGAAACCACAAGTTTGAGGCAGTTCGTAGGAAAACACTACTTCATCTCGAATTCTCTTACAATGTGTTAATAGTTTACACACTCCTGGAGAGTTAGATCGTTCATGAGTGCAAGAGTTTCCTGTAAGAACAAATGAAGAAATGACATAGTTTAACATTTCTAAAAAATATCATTACCAAATTTCTCCCTTAGTTCCCAATAATAAATATAATTTTTTTTCCAAAATGAGAAAAAAAAAGATGTAACCATATTAAACAGAGCTACAGACTTACCAATAATACGTTGTGGATAAATATTTTTAACCAAGATCACATTAACAATAATAATCAGGAATTTATGCATTTCGTTACTGTGTACACTGGAGCATACAGATCTCTACTACTTTAGTAGTTTTAACAGCATGTAAAATAGGAATTTACGTCGGGCGATTCCAGAGAGGACAACGCGTGCTCTTCACCTTGTAGGTAAACAGGTTCAACGCACGTGATAATGATTGGTTGTGAGAAATATTGGTGAAAAATTCAAGACGAGCAAGCCACTTTACAAACGTGTTTTTTTATCATATATGTTGTGTATTTAACAGTTTAGATATTTTTTACATTATTCTTTATTTCATTGAAAATGTCATAATTGAAAAATATTCTAAAACATAATAATAATAATGTCTTTGTTTTTAACATTGTAACTTGATTAATATATATAACAGTCTTGCCTCCCTAATTTCATAGTTCAAATCAGTAAAATATTTAGATTACAAAATTAATCTCCGAACTGGTTTCATAATTCTAGTATCGCTAGACCCATTAATTGTTGTTCAAGTTGATCTGGAATGAGCTCTTGATTTAGTGTGTTTTCTGTTGATTGAATCAGAATGTTGGTGTTTGGAGAATTCTTACAATCAACTTCTAGACCCAAGGTAGTGCCAAAACCTGTTTCAGTGTTGATATTCATTTTCTTCTCCACATTACAGGAAAGAAGTTGATTGTAATGACGCTTAATTACATAACCATCATCTAGTTCTACTAAACAGTGTAGATTACCCATACATTTTGTAATTATTCCATACTTCCAGAATCGATCTCTTGAATAATTTCTGGATTGAACTCTATCGCCCACTTGAAAATGTTTCTCGAAACTCGATTTCTTTTTCTTTTTTGTTGATTCAGTTGATCTCATAAAATCTAATTTGGTTCGTACATTTCTTTCAAAAAAGAGTTCATTTATCATGCATTTAAATTTTGTTTTTAATGTTTGACAGTATCATTCTGCTTGACCATTTGTGGCTGGATGTCCTGGTGCAACCATCCGTTATTTAATACCATTCCGTTTACACAATGCTCTAAGTTCATTTGATTTGAAGATGGTTGCATTGTCACTAACTAATATTTCTGGTAATCCATACCGTCTAAAGATTTCTCGTAAATGATACATGGTGCTTGCTGATGTAAGAGAATTTTTAACCATAATTGTTTCTGGCCATTTGGATTTGGCATCAACAAGAATTAGAAAATGATGGTTGCAAAATGGGCCTGCATAATTCGTATGTACACGTTGGCGATTCTTTTCTGGTATTTCCCATTGATGAATCGATAGCTTAGTAGGATTTTTCTTAACATCGCAACAAGCTTGACAACTTTTAACCATATTTTCGATATCAGAATCGATGCCGGTTCAGTAGCAATAGTTTCTTGCTAGATATTTCATTTTAACCATACCTAGATGTGTCGAATGAAGTTCTTGTAGAATAATGTGTTGTAATTTTTTTGAAATTATCACACGATGTCCTCTAAGTATTACTCCATCGTGCAGTGAAAATTCTAGATCTCTTCTGGTTCCATTTAGAATTTCTTTCTTCGTTTTACATAATTCCTGTCTTGTTTCTTTTTCAATTTCATGAGCTGTGACTGTTTCCGTACTAATCTGATTAATTAAAATCGTACTTAACACGTTTTCATCATCAGTTTTTTCTTCTTCTTTTGGTGGTAATTTCAATGGACTTCTGGAGAAATAATCAACATTTACATGTTCACCGGATTTTCGACATTCTATGGAATAATTGAAACCGGATAAAAATTGTGCATATCTTAACATTCTGGTTGCAGATAAAGCTGGAAGTTGTTATTGAAGATTTAAAATAATACTCAGTGGTTTATTATCCACAATTAGAATAAATTTCCTTCCATAAATATAATGAAAAAATCTTTTGAAACTCCAAAAAATGGCTGTTGCCTCTTTATCTAATTGACTATAACTACGTTCAGCTTTTGTCAACGATCTGGATGCAAAAACAACTGCTCTTTCAGATCCGTCTGGAAAACGGAGTGACAAAACACCTGAAAGTCCATCCATTATGTCTAAATCAGATGTAAAAGATATGAAAACTCGTTCACTGGCTATTTTAGCTTTGGTTTTTTTGAACGCTGTTTCACATTCGATAGACCATTTAAAATTTCTATCTTTCCTTAACAGACGGTTTAATGGATATATATAACATGCTGAATGCATTGGGAATAAATTTTGTATAATACATCACCATCCAAGAAAACGTTGAAGTTCTTCTAAAGAGTTCGGCCTTGGTGCTTCTATGATCGCTTTAATTTTATCTTCAGATTTCTCGAGTCTTTTTTCTGAAATGACATGACTCAAATATTGAATTCTCTTCTTGAAAAATTGACATTTTTCTCGATTCAGAGTCAGATTATATGTATGTAATCGTTCAAGAACTTTAATTAAACGAAATTTACATTCTTCAATACAAGAACTTATCACCAGATATTTTTTTATATTATTCTTTATTTCATTGAAAATGTCATAATTGAAAATTATTCTAAAACATAGTAATAATAATGTCTTTGTTTTTAATATTGTAACTTGATTAATATATATATATAACAATATGTGTTTACTATAAATTACACTGGTCAACAGCTAAACTCTAACTTTTATTATAGCAGCCAATTATTATTTAATTAGCAATTTTAAATGATATTATAAGGGGCTAAACCAAAACTTAGCTCTCATTTAAAAGTAATCTTAAAATATTATCCTTTGAAAAATACAAAAATCGTACTATTAAGTAATAGGAAACTTTCTAAAAGGTGTATTTTTTTGTTGTCAAATTGCTACAAACTTCTTGGGAAACAATAAAAAAACTACGTTTAGTAAGTACAAAACATGTTATCATCATATAAAAAATTTAAAATTAACATATTCTTAAAAGTGCTTTTTATGCATTCGCACCTTGATTTTTTCCCCAAAAATTGTGACGACGTGAGTGACCAACATGGAGAACGTTTCCATCTGGGCATTTTGTCGATAGAAAAACGTTACCAAGATCGATGGAACACCTAAATGCTCGCAGAATACTGCGGGACCATCAAGCGAGAGATCTCCAATGAAATCTATAGAAGGCAACCGAAAAAACGTCGGTCTTAGCTGTTTCTTTTGTTTTTTTCGTTTTTTTTAACTACATTCGTTGTTTTTTTCTTATTTATGGTTGTTCTTTTGTTAATACTACACTTTTTGCCGTTAAAGATACAAAAATTAAATTGTTTTACCTGATTTTGTGTTTCTAACATCAAATATGCATATATTTTTTAATTGAGCTAAGTTATAAGATTTATGCTCTTTGTTACAAACACAGAGACAAATTAAACGAAAAAATTACAATTATGTCAAAGTTAGAGAGAAAAAATTAAATTTTGTTGACCAGTGTTATGTATTTACCTTATACAAAATTTTTATAAATGATTCTAAGGGCGTAGTTAGCCATGGAGTTCAAAAATCCCGCTTTGTTGAAACAATGCCTCAATATGACAGTTCTCGCTTTTCACTAATGTTATTTGTAACCTGCCATTTAAAACAATAAAACAGTCGTATTCAAAACTATTGGATAATTCGAAAACGGAGAGTTTTTGTATTTATAAACGCTAGTAAGCAAGAATATCTGACCAAATACCCTGCTTTGCAAATTTAAGAAACATCGTTAGAGGCTCACATTAGAGATGTAATCAACATATTTGCTCGAACTGATAGTGTCAACAAAGGGAAATCTCCTGGAAGGCCTTCAGTATCTGCGAAAGTTGTTGATGATTTGAGACTACTCAAAAAACATTGGCGGAAGGTTGTTGCAGAAACAACAAAAACTTACCGACAATAGTTTGTGTGTAAACATTTTTAACCAAGATCACAATAACTACAATCAGGAAATTATACATTTCTTTAGTGTTAAACGTACACCGGAGAATACAGCTCACGCTCTCTACTACTTTAGTACTACTTGGGTAATTACGTCGGGTGAATGCAGGAACGACGTTTCCTACAAGCTCCACCTCATTGTTTACTTTACATGATTTTTATGATTAACGTGTAAACCCTGACGGTACTCATTAAAAAAAAAAATAAAAAAATAGTAACAATAAAATAAAAAATAGAATTCAATTTCCATTTACAGTAAGTCAGCGAGATGGAGAAAGGAAATGGATGGGGCTGATTTTAGCTTTTTTCTACGGAGTGTTATTAGCAAGCAGCTGCCCCGCCCACCCACCCCCTCTCCATTCTAGTGACCACTCTTAATATTGTCCACTCTTATCTGGCCAAGAGCTAGTCCCACCCACCCACCCTCTAATTTTTTAGAACGAATGTGATTTGCCAAAATCAGTTTTATCTTAGCAAGACGACTTTATTTTTCTTTACTATAAGATTCAGCTTTCATTGCGAGTAAATAAAATGAATCACTGAAATGGAGGCGGGGTGGGTGGGCGTGGTTAATTATATGTTCTTTTGTACAATGGGAATGAGAATTAATAGAACCTAGGCTGTTACTAGCTAAATTTTTTTATTTGTTTGTTGTTTTAACTTAGGAAATTATTGTATCACAATTCTACAACTTAAAATAACCGATTTTATTCACTGTTCTCTGGCCAAACTATATCTTCAATCCACTTAATGTACTCAGACACTCTAGTGTGTACAGAGGGAGCACGAGAACATCCTTTTCGAAACGAAGTCACTCCCACAATATCATACATACACCTCGTAGGGTCCTTGTTGTGATATATTTGCAGTGCACCACCAGAATCACCCTAAAAATTCAGAAAATTTTTATTACACTACGAACTAGAGAAATTGGTCGAAACTTATTTCGACTGGACTTTTCTCACTCCTTAGATATATATATTGTTTTAACGTATATATCCTATAAATATGTTTTAACAAACTATATTTTTACTTCCCGAGCGTAGGCGAAGCAAATATTGTAAACAAAAATATACTCAATATACTTGTAGTGTATGAATCCGCTTTCAGTTTTTCGCTAAACATTCAAATTTTCGAAAAAACATTTTGCGGTACTGCGATTGTGCGTTGTGATAAAATAAGAATTATAATATTCACAACATTTTGTTGGATTGTCAATAATTTTAGTTGTCTTTTGAGAAGACAAACTCATTCAAATCAAACTAATTTCTACGTGACATTCTTTCGATGTATAAATATAAATAAATAAGCACTTGAGCTTCAGATTGCTATTATCTACTGCTGTGAATGCGATTTGATACAATGAATTACTCGTTGGCTGAGACTGACTCGTTCCTGAAGCTGGCCTCTGTTTAAACGCATACTCTCCTTCTAGAGTTTTCGTGATCGAGGTCTTTCTGGAATACCCATCGCGACTTCCGCTTTACCAATAGGCGTCGTACCGGGGCGGCGTATGGGTTTATTTATTAACAATATGGTGGTTCTTTCTTGTGATAATTACATCAAGACGCTCTAGCTTATACTAGTATAAAAGAAGTAGAAATAACTTAATGAATATGATCCGTTAACTAACCTGACAAGTATCCTTTTGTCCGTTACCCTGTCCTGTACAAATGTGTATGTCATTCAATCCTCTTTTTCGCCTCCTTGTGTTTGCGTCACTCTTATTACAAATCTTATATTCTGCTACATCTAGTGTTGCGCTGAACAACTCTTCACTGACACCTACTGCATATTCTCGACTACCCCATCCAGTAGCCATAACTTTGGTGGCAGGAATGTCAAAGTGTGTATTAAGACAAGCCGGACGCACATACGAATTAATTTCTACTGGTTCATGCAGTAGTATTAGTCCTATGTCGTGATTGTGATGCGTTCTGTTGAATCCTGGATGTATTAAGTTATTGCCAATTCTTAATTTTTGCATGTGGTTAGGGTCATTAAAACTTGTGATCCCGAATAGCACTAAATTTGGTTCATCGCTGAAACAGACTCTTTATTTATTTAAACTAAATAATTCCTTCAAAACTTACATATCTCCGAAAGCCAAACACCGCCCTGCTGTCAACACGTATCGTTCACTAATCAGTGATCCTCCACACAACCACCGAAGAGAACCAGCTCCGCTTATTGCCAACAGCGCCATATGCGGAAACTCGACTCTTCCAGCCGGTCTTCCATTAATCACACGCTTTGCGATGTTGTGTCCACATAGTCGATTCTCTTTTGTGTATGAAGCATATTCTCTGCATTCTGAAACGTAATTTGATTTTGTTTTAGTTTGTAAGTACACGTGGTTTGCTTTTTTACGTACTTTTTTCGCTAATGTAACCTGGTCGACGAGTTATAGGGCAACAAACTATGGGTTGTGTTTCCTGGAAGCCACAAATTTGAGGCAGTTTCTGATTAAACACGATTTCATCCCGAATCTCCCCACATTGTGTTAATAGTTTGCAGCGTCCTGGAGAGTTAGATGCTTTAACGGTACAAGGGTCTCCTGTAAAAGGAATTAATATCTTACCTAATATACATTAACTACAAACTTTGTGTTAACCATAGTTGTAAACATAAGGAAGATAAACTTACCGATAGCACCTTGTGTGTAAACATTTTTAACCAAGACCACAACAACAATAATCAAGAATGAATACATTTCTTGACTAATTAGGGGCTGACTCTAGCAAACGTCCATACTTTCTAGTTTCTACAACTGTTATTTTTACCGGTATACGAAATGGGTATTGACGTCGATGATTTCAGGGACGACAACGTTTCTTTGTCACTTTCTAGGTCAACGTAAGTCAAAATTAGTTGTGAGAAGGAATGTTGCACATGCAAGATGTGCAAGCCACTTTACACACACGTTTTTCTTAGCCTATATATTTATTTATTACTGTTCATGTTAGAGTTAAATCAGTACTGTTAACCTGACCAAGATGATGAAGTTGTTGTCTAGGACTGAATCTTTGAGTTGGAGCACGCTTTCTTCACCTACATAACTTAAATAAGTGTTTTTCTGAGGTTTCTCTTTATTTAAAAGTCAAAAGTGGTTGGCCATTTCCGGGTCAGTCGTAAGTGTAAAATAAATTATTTCAGCAGCGTATTAATAATAATAATAATAATATTAAGAATATAGATTTATTGACTAACAGAAAAGTTCTAAAAAAGACTTGTACTTAACTATTACTAAAGATGCCTTAAATAATTATTATGAAACATATCTTGCGAACAATTGAATATATCTACACATATACCTTATTTTCAATTATTTACCGTTAAACCTATTGTATTTACGACTGAGCATACGATTGTGTTAAGATTCCTAGTATTTACTAACGGTACTCTGAAATTAAAAAAAGATAATAATTCGGCACTATCAATTTGATTGTTGAACAGTTCATAGGCAAACCTAAGCTCAGATTTTAGCTTACTTTATTTAAAAATCTCTGGTTCAGTTATAGTTACTCTTTGACTATAACTTTAATTAGATTTATTGAGACTCGTTCTATATATTAAATTGTTACAAAATTTCCTCTGAATTCTTTAGAGGCGAGTTTCGTGAATTGCGTAGGAAGGAAACCATATAAGAAGCATCAGCGAAGAATAAAATTCTTACAGAGTGACAGTGTCAGATCGTTTATCTATACTTCTATACTTCTATACTTATATAATAAAGCTGAAGCTTTTGTTTATTTGAACGCGCTAATCTCAGAAACTACTGGTTCAAATTCAAAAAATCTTTATGTGTTGGATAGTGCATGTATCATATCTACATATAGGCTATATAACATCACGCTACAATCATTAGGAGCGAAGTAGCAATGAAAAATTCGGAAAAACGGGAAAATTATTCCTCCTTTGACAGCTTCCGTTGCTTACGCTGCTTAAACGGTTAAAGTTACGTAAAAATCATGTATGACGAAATTGTTCCCCTCTAAAAGTTCTAAAGAAAAGTTCCCGACAGCATATGTGTATCTTTTAAGGTCGAGTCAGTATAACCTTTTTTATGGTAATGAAATTTGTTCTAAAATAATAATGCATCTATCTATCTACCTATCTTCTATATTAATAAAAATGAATCGCCGAAATGTATGTACGCTCATAACTTCAGAACGACTGCACCGAATTGGACGATTCTTTTTTTTACGTGTTCCTTATTGTCAGAACAAGGTTTATATGTAAGAAAATTTATAAAAAATAAGACGGCTAAAAGATAAAAAAAAATTAAAAGTTTTGCATGGGAATCGCCACTTCGAATTAATCTGAATAGTTGGCGTTCCTGACGGACCTGACGTCTAACTGACGTGTCATACAAAACTATTTCTTCCGTGCGATTGTGAAAAGTATATTGCATTTCAAATCGTTCTTTGTTTTTTCGTAAAAGAAACGTCGTTTATTTTAAGAAAAGTCTTGGTTAAAGTGAATTTAGTTACACATAGCGAATATAAAGTTAACAAAGTTAGTTGAGTTACAAAAGTCTCTTTTGCTCCACGTTGCACCAACGAGCGAGTTTCATGATTTTTGTGAAAATTTGCCGGTTTTGAATTTGAATTTTCTGTCCTCGATAGTTGATGCTCAGCAAGAACCACGGGAAGGTCTGGAGCAGATCTCGCTAGGAAAGGAGAGGGCTAGGATTTGTTAATGAGGGATAGAACGTTATACAGTATAATACAACAGAAATACAATACAGGTACCTACAATCTAACTACAATACAGAATACACTACAGATACAGATACAATTCAGATACAATACAAATGCAAAGTTAGTACCCAATACACCACCGGAAAAAATTGCACCAAAAATTGAGAATGTTGCAAAATGAAAACCCAAGCAAGCACACCGATGGAACTCGAAACGAAATCTATAGGTCGCAGCGCTCACACGCCCAAGGGAGAACGCAGCCGCATAGATACAGGGCCGACTGCCCTCATCCGTTTAGGATGATGAACCTCATCCGTTTAGGATGTTGACCCAGCGTCTAAGGGCCAACAGAACCCCCCCAGGCCAGAGCGTCTGACGACATGGAGAATTCAGTCTCGGAACCAAAGAATGCACTGTTGCAAAATTAAAACCCAAGCAAGTGCACAGTGAAAACAAAGCATTTGCACCACTGGAGCTAAATTGGCAAGACCCAAGTTAAGTTAGTAACACATACAATATACAGTACAAAATGCTTCAATTACAAAAGTTACAATATACAAATTTCTCGATGTTTGCCACCAAAGAGCGATGAATGTGCTCGCTCGTTGCTGTTGCCCAGCAAGAACCAAACAATACGAAAAGGTCTGGAGTGCGCCTTGCCATTAAAAGAGAGGACTAGGGTTTGATAGCATGGGTGAAGGACACCGTATTTTGTAAATCTGGACACCGTAGTTTAAAAATGATGTTCACAGCACTTAACACAAAGCATTTTCGCTAATATTTATTAACAATAAATTAGAAATTCGCGAACACGTGCTACTTTTAATCCAAAACGGAGCTACAGTGTTGCTGCTGCCAGACCGAAATCAAAACTGAACAGAAAGGATAGAAAATGTGACCTTTTATCAGGTAGCTCACGTGACAGTGACGTACGTCACGATGAGATTGCAAAAATTATTTTTCATATTTTCGCTCAGAAATTGTAGATTTTCGGGATTAATTTAACAATGTTTAAACGAACTAATTGGTTTTTGCTAACCTCGTGTTCTTATAAAAATGGTTTTCGGTTTAATTATCATATATTAATAGTTATCATACTTAAACATTATGAATTATATTATGTTTAAATTTTATTTAATTATATCGCGAAAATGTATAACATTGACCCACCAACTTCAATCGTTTCGAAAATTTTTCCAAAATTTAAAGATTGTCGAATAAACGAATCATGGAATCCGATAAATTAAAACTGAAGTCGTACTTACCTTGTTTTCGGTCCTTTTCGGAAAAATATCCACGTGTTCACAGCACTAACACAACATATTTTCCCTAATATGTATTAATAATAAACTAGAAATTCGCTAAAACGCTCCACTTTTACGCCAAAATGAAGCGACGATCTTGCCGCCATCAAACAGAAATTAATACTGAACACAAAGGACCGCAAAACGTGACCTTTATACAGGTAGCTCACGTGACATTAACGTCATCGTAAGTCACGATGAGACTGCAAAAATTATTTTTCATATTTTGACCGGCAAAATGCACATTTTTTGGGGTAATTTAACAATGTTTAAACAAATTGATTTGTTTTTAATAATTTTGGGCTTGTAGGACAACGAGTTTCGGTTTAATTATCAAATATATTTATGCTTATAATATTTAAACATTATGAATTTTCTTAATTATGTTTAAATTTTATTAATTTATATCGTGAAAATGTATAGCTTTGATCAACCGACTTCAATCGTTTGGAAAATTTTCCCAAAATTTAAACATTGTCGAGTGAACGAATCACGGAATTCGATAAATTAAAACTGAAGTCGTAGGATAATTAACTTTTATTTATGCATAAATTGTGCAGTGCGTTCTTTCTAACTGGCATCTAGATTCCCATCTCAAGGTGTCTACCCAATACTAACTTATATTTTGGTGACTCGATTTTTGCCTTGATGGTTGAACACTGTCACTGTTTTCCGTTTTTGTTGTATCGAGATGCTACTTGAGCATCAAGTCTTACCTACTGAACTATCAGCATCATCTAGAAAAACTAGAAATATTTTGATTTGATATTCGAGTAGATGCTTCGTATTTCGAGTTTTATTTATATCAACCATTGTCAAAAAATTGATCGAACGTTGTTTCGACAAAACTTCCTTCGCACCAAAAGAATAATGAAACATATTTAGCATTTTCGAATTGAGTCTTTTCTTCACACAATTTTGTGATGACCTAATCAACATTTACGATGAACACGTATACCACCTTGGATTGGTGCAGTGTATTACTAAAAATAACTGTATTGTATTCCGAAAATTATCTGCGAAAATCGAGTGAGCCATTCCATCAATTTTTTGGGGGGAATAAATAAATATTCTTAACAATTTACCTTTCTTACAATAACTTTAAAACGTCTGCAAGATCTCAAAGTATTCATTTTTGCAACTCTTGAGTTATTCACTAAAATAAATTGACTGATCCAAATATTTTTTTGAGTCACTGTAAAAGCAAATCTAAAAAATATGAATGCAATGATAAATTACGAACATATACTGATGATATTTTGCACATTTTAGGTAGGATATATTCGGCAAAATCTTGAGATGACGTCATCATGTCAAACAGTAACTTCAAAACGTCTGCAATATTTCAAAATTCAGTTTTGCAATTCTTGATTCAATCAATAAAATAAATTGACTCAGTGATAATTTTTTTTGAGACACCCGCTATAAGCAAAACTAAAAAATATGAGTGGAATGATAAATCACAAGTATAGTCTCATCCTATTTTGGACATTTATTTTAACATAGGATTCATTTGGCAAAATTTTGGACTGACGTCATCAATTTTTTGGAGGAGATAAGTAAATATATTTTGAATAAAAATGTATTATACTTATCATATGTTTAAAACATCTGCAAGATTTCGAAGCATTCCGTTTTGTAGATTCAAAATTAAATTGTAGGTGAAACGAAGTTCACGGGGTCAGCTAGTAAATAATAGAAATAAAATGGGAGCAATGTGGCTACCTTGTGGAACTCCAGAAGGAATGGAAATAGGATCAGATAGAATACCTTTAACTGAGATTCTCTGGGTACGATTCAGTAAGTACGAGGCTAACCAACTATGAAGAGGGCCGTGTCTGACTTTGTAGAAAGCTTTACAGAAATCAAGATATATCGCATCGATTTGGGAGCCTTCTTCTAATGCGTCTATTCTATAATGAATTCATTGTAGATGGTAAAATTTGTTATTATGATGGTAGGAATTCATGCTGATGG